CCGCTTCTCCTCAGCAAGGGCAACCCAGGGTCACCGCCGGGAGCCGGGAGGGCCCTGACCTCAGAGTTCAAGTCCAGCCTCTGAGCTTCACGAGCAACTTGACTTTTGGCGAGTCACACCTTTGCTTCCCTGAGCTTCAATCTTCCAAACTGTAAACTGGGGAGGGGGGAAGAGGGGAGATGAGAGTTGTCCAGGAATACGCTCCTGCTGATGGAGCCCCTGGCTCGGCGCCACCCGCTGTCCCTCCCAGCTCCTTGCCTTCACCTGCTCCCCTTCAGGCCCAGGAGGAGTGCACCCCATTTCCTCCAGGAAGCTCCCCCCAGGAACGTTACTTAGTCATCGCCTTGCCCCACCCTCCCCTTCTCAGGAAGCCAGTGTGGGGCACGGCTTTGCACCCACAGTCTTGGCAGCGTCTTAGCAGAAGGAATGCTCGGGGGCGGGCGGTGTGCCCTGTGGCTGGGCTGCCCTCACCTTCACCCGCTGTGGGCTGGGCTGTGGGTGGCCAGGCCAGGGTGGAGGAGTGGCCCCTATCCCGGTGGGGCGGGGTGCACACCCTCAGCCAGGCCCCGGCTGGACAGCAAGCCCATCTGCAGACTCTGCAGACAAGACGGCCATTCAGGACACATGAGGGGAGGGCGTGTGAGGGGGCAAGTTCAGCAGGTGGAATTACCCTAGTAATTATCACCTCCACCCACCAGCCACAGGGACACCCACAGCCCCGGAGGGGGGAGACGATGCAGGGTTAGGGGAAAGAGCAGGCTGGGGTGAGGGCGGGGAGACCAGGGCTGGCACTGCCCCAGGACTTACTGTGACCTGGAGGTCACTCCAGCTCTGCGAGTGACCTCCTCATCTGAAGGCAGGTGTGTCTCAGGAGGACGTTACCTCACAGAGGGCTGACGTATGTACGTATAGCTCATGGGGAGAGGGCTGTGGCGAAGGGCCCCACGTACTGGTGGCTGCCTTCCAATGGTGAGTCCATCAACTTCACACAAACCCTGTCCCAGGTTTACACCATGCCAGCATGGCGCCCTCGTGTAATCAGATGGACACCCAGTGCCCCGCTGCCTGCAGGATCCAGGTAATCATGTCGGTCCCCGGCCCAAGCCCTCCTCTGGGCAGTCTGAGCAGGGTGGGTCCTGCCCGCTCGGGTGGAAGGAAATAAGGTGACGGACACTTCAGTCTGCAATGCCCTGGCCCCGTCAGCTCTCACCGCTCTCACTGGCTGGAGTGCTGTGGTGGGGACGGTCTCCAGGTGGCAGGATCCCTGTGGGGGCCTTGGAGCCAGAGCCACATGTGTGGGCTCCTGACTCAGGCATTTATTAACCACTAGAGGCCCGGTGCACACACAGAATTCCTGCACAAAATGCGTAGGGTTCTTAGGCCTGGCCGGTGACCAGGGCGGATCTGTGGGGCAACTGGCAGGATAAGGGGGGGCGGGGCATTGGCATCTGTCTTGGCTGGTCTGGGGCCTGCAGGCAGCTCCTGCGTTGAGCGACTGTCTCCTGGTGGTCAGTGTGCATCATGGAGACTAGTCTTTCCGCTGTTTGATCAATTTGCAGATTAAGCTTTTATAATATAGGATGACATCTCCTGCCGGAAGTGAACTGGAGCCACATTTACCAGATCCAGGAAGCGGAGGGCTCCTGCCTCTCAGGGCTGTGAGGAGTTGCAGGCCGGTGACCGGCCCTGGGTCTGCTCCCCACAGGTAGCCCCAGGTTAACAGAAACTTATTCACAGCAGGTGGTCTGAGCAGGCACCCCCCCCCCCCCCTTTCTTTTGAAAACTGGGTCATACGCAGGTGCTGTGGAGGTGGGAGTGGGAAAGGGGGGCAAGACATGGAGGGCCATGTTGTGTAAGACCAGGAAACAGATATATATATAAATTCATGCACTAGTGTGTGTGTGTCCTGCAGCCCAGCCTGCATCCTCTCCAATCTGGGATATCCCTCTTCCAGGGCTGCTGGCTCCCAACTGTTCACCTGCCTGCCTTCCTGATTGCCCCTAACTGCTTCTGCCTGCCAGCCTGATCACCCCCTAACCACTCCCCTGCCAGCCTGATTGCCCCTAACTGTCCTCCTATGCGAGCCTGGTCAACCCTAACTAACCTCTCCTGCAGGCCTGGTCCCCCTACTGCTCTCCCCTGCAGGTCCAGCAGATCTCAACTTCCCTCCTCTGCAGGCCTGGTCACCCCTAACTGCCCTCCCCTTCAGGCTTGATTGCTTCCAACTGCCCTCCCCTGCAGGCCTGGCCCCTCCCAACTGTTCTCCCCTGCTGGCCATCTTGTGTGTTGGAATGATTGTCAATTTGCATACTATTCTTTTATTAGATAGGGTATTCAATTCTCACTGAGGACATTTTTTTCCATTGCTTTTTTTTTTTTTAGAGAGAGTGGGAGAGGGAGAAACAGAAATACCGCTGTGGGAGACACATTGATTGGTTGCCTACCCCATGCCCCTGGCCAGAGCCTGCACCTCAGGTATGTGCCCTTGACAGGAATCGAACCTGGGACTCATCTGTCCGCAGGCCGATGCTCTGTCCACTGGGCCAAACCAGCCAGGGCCAGATGCACATTTTTACGCACCCAAAGTGAGCCTTCGCACCGGAGCTGCAAGGACCTGTGCTCCCTCTGTCCCCACCCCTCGGCCCGCGGAGTCCTGGTCTCCCACCCGAGGAGAGGGCAGCTCACAGAACGGCCTGATGGCAGGTGTTTGGGATCAACTGAGAATATGTTTATTTAAAAGCAATTTTAAATATTAAAAAAGATAGAAATGAACACATACAGTACTGAAAAGAAGTCACATTAAATACACGTGAACGGACGCGAGTACTGGTGTCCGAGGGGGATGTTGGATGAGAGTCGGGGTTTACCGAGTGGTCCACGGAGGCTATACAACAGGCTGGAGTCCTAGGCAATAAAAAAATAAATAGCATCGCTGTTCAACAGGAAAATAAGACACGCTCTTTGCAGAACACACCGCTCCCCTCCGGGGGAGAGGGAACTCATTAGCTAATTTCCCCCATAAGTTCCTATACCTTCAAAATACTATCTCATGTACAAAACGGCAGGTGGTGGCTCACGGAGATTCAGAACAATGATCAAGACGTCAACTCAACGAAGACGGGCCAAGGGGTCCCAGGGCCAGCGAGCTGGAGAGAGCTCCGATTCCTGGTGACAAGCCCGAAAGAACAGAGACAATCCCGAAAGAAGAAAAGATGTGAAGAATGCGTTCACGTTGCTGGGAAGGGGAAGAGCAGACATGGATTCCGCGTCGTCTCAGACATCTAGTGTGTGTGTGTGTCTCTTAAGAAACCGGTTATTTTGAGATCCGTTAAAACACTGTAGGCTGCAAAGATGAGTTTTTTAATGCAACTGAAAATGTGGAACCGAACCAGGACAGTAGGGAGGTGGGAGGGTGTCCTCCTGCCCTGACACGAGCGTGGCCTGCGTCCCGAGGCTGCAGACTCTGCCGGCTTTACCCCCCAGGTCACTGGCCGCGCCTGCACTCTGGCTGCCGGAGTCACAGCTGAGGGGGGCGGCGGGCCTGCCACGGGGTTTCCTGAGCCCGTGGCTGCCCAATGCTCTCTAAGTGTGTGCGGAACCAAAATCACCGGCATGGGGCGTGGCGGTCTAGGACGGCTTTCCTAACGGTTTGGGAGGGATTGTGCTTCTGGGAAATGAACACGCCTCACTCACTGCCAAGATGACCTGTGTGAGAATGCCGTCTCCTGTGCGGTTTGTCAACAGAGCAGATGCAGCAAATGCAATGGCAGAGGGACACCGGGGCCCTGGTCAGGGCTCAGCCCTGCCGGTGGGAGCGAACCCGCTGCATTCTCTTCAAATTCCCGACTCACACGGGGGAGGAGACCCACAGGGGCCTCGGGGATGGGCTGACCTGAAGGAGACGTGTCTGTGGAACCGGGCGTGGGGCTGGGGACTTCCTATGATCGAGAGCCGGGAGGAAGGAAAAGGCGGTTTCAGCACCTGGTTCTACGGCGGGAGACCGAGGGCAGGGTGGCTTCCAACCTGTCCTCCTCCTGACTGATCTCTGCAGGGGTTACGCGTGTCCGGGACAGAGCTCCGAACAGAACGTGAATGGATGGACACACGGGATGCTAGCACACACGGGGAGGATGCTCATTCGTAACAACAGGACGTGGAGAGCCGCACGCGTGGGAGAAAGCCACGGGGCTGACTAGACACAAACATCATCGCAACCTTATCATCTCTGCTTTTAATGGCAATCAGGTTAGAGCGTGCGGGCCCCCCCGCTGCGCACGCCCCTTGAGGGAAGGCTCCTTAGAGAAGGCTCGCTCCTGGCAGCCCCCGGGCCTGGAAGAGGCGCTCCACTGAGGGCCTCAGCGCCTGTCCGAGTCGTCACGAAGGCTACGTCATCTTTGCATAATGAGGTAACGTCTCAGGGGCGGGCACGGCTCCCCGGACGTCTGCATCCACTGGCCGACCTGCCGAGGGGTGGGTGCGTGCGTGCCCGAGGCCGGGCTGTGCCTGTCCTGCCGCAGGGTCACTCTCCCGGGTAACCAAGCGCTTGCTGTCATGCTGCCCAGCGGGCGGTGGAGCTGTAAACTGAACACGGGCTGCAGGCAGCCTGGCAGAGCTCAGAGTCTCCCCGGAAGACGGGTCGCCTTCTGCCAGCGGTCGTGCCCGCTCAGAGACGGGCGAGGACGGTCCGTGCGCCGAGACCGCTGCCGTTGGCAGAGCCGGCGGTCCCCAGGCTCCTGCTCGCTTGGAGAACGGCACAGAGGGAGATGGAAGTGCTAGACGCCAGGACGGCTTTGGCAAACCGGGAAGACGCCGGTCCCCGGCTCCCATTAATACTGGCGAAGGCGGGAGATAACAGGGCGTTTATTTACAAGACACACGGCGCCGTCCCCGTCCGGAGCGGCCGGCGGTCCGTTCTGTAACAGCAGCTATGTACACATGGGCACGGGGCGCTGGGGGGCTCCGCCCTGGAGGGCGTGGACAGTCCCGGGTTCTCCTCCTCGCTAGTCGGACAGGATGTGGACGAAGGACACGGGAAAGACCCCTTTCCTTTCGGGCTCTCCCTCGATGTGGCCGATCTGTGGGGAGAAGCGAGAGGCGTCAGGTGGAGGCAGGCCGCTGGGAGTGGAGACAACCAACCGCGTGGCAGTGACAATCACAGAATACGCGCTCCGCGCTCGGCACTTCCGCGTGGCTCTCACTCTGCCCGCTGGCAGCCCACGGGAGTCCTCCCTGTCGACAGGAAGGAACCTGGAGAGCACTGCGCTCAGAGCAAGACGCCGGTCAGAGGGACAAGCACCACACGGCATTGGGGGAAGCGAATGAACAAAACTAACAAAACGGACACAGACTCGGGGAGGAGAGCAGGCTGGCAGCTGTCCGAGAAAGGTGAAGGGACAGAGCAAATTCATCAATGAAACATTCACAGGCACAGACCACAGTGTGGTGACGCCAGAGGGAGGGAGGGAGGCGGAGGAGGGAAAGGGGGTGAAGGGGGTAGAAGGTGATGGAGGGAGACTTGGCTGGGGGTGGTGGGCACACAGGTGGGGAGAAACCAAGAGGTGTGTTGGAAACAGAATAAAATGTGTTTCTCAGGGGGCTCGGCTGCTTTCCCTCTGGGCAAGCGGGACAGAGCTTGCTGAGCCTCCCGTCTGTAACCTGGGCTAAAACACCCTTCCCTCCACTTGTGAGACAGAGAACGCCCCGCATCTGGAGGCTGCTATGGCCCGCGCCCGTTTCCCGGCCACCATGGGGGAGGATGCAGTGAGGCTCCAGAGCAGCGTGGCCGGCAGGCTCCCTGGCTGCTGCCTGAGCTTGGCCCGTCAGCTGCAGAAGGTTCTGTTACATCTATGGGACCTGATTTCGGGGGACCCACCGTGGGAAACGTAACAAGACCTGCACGCCGGCTCCCATGACAAACAGAGGGGAGGGGCTCTGAGAGCCCGGCCAGGCCACCTGTCGGTCCCTCCGTGACGGCCTGCAGCTCAGAGGGCCTGGAGCACGGCTGTGTCCAGCCCACGGCGGCCGAGCACGCAGGCTCGGGACCGGCCCTGCCCGCTGGCCCGCCCCAGAGCTCTGGGTTCCCATCGGGAGAACGGGGAGAACCCCCGGGTGTGACCGCGGCTGAAGCGCTTCCGTCCCACGTGAACTCCCTGGCCCACAGCCGCTCTGGCGGGGGACGGGGGACACGGGGGCAGGGTCGGGGGCCCAGCGGGGGCAGCCCACGCCCGAGGGGAGGAACCGGAGGGACTGCCCGGGCGGGGGCAGGGGCGGGCACGTACCCACCACTCCTGGTCCTCCTCGCCCGTGACGACGATCACCTCGCCCTCGAGGAAGGTCAGCTCGTCGTCGTTGTCGGCCTGGCAGTCGTAGATGGTCTTGACGCGCCGCACCTTGTTCTTCCCCTGTGCACGGAGGCGGCGGTTAGCGGCCGGGGCCTCCCCGGGCCTCAGTGTCTCCGCTGGGAACGGCGGGGCAGGTCTGCCGTGGGCTCCGTGTGCCCAGACATCTCAGGGTGTCCGAGCCCCCGTCCCTTCCCCTGGCATCAGGGGAGAGCCCGGCCGGGGCGAGCGGGCATCGCCCGTCATGTTCGCCACGAGGGCAAGGGACAGTGTGGCTCCACCAGGGACACAGCATCCCCCCCCCACTCCCACAGGCCAGGATGACGCAGCGTCTAAAACTGGATTTGGGAAGCGTGACGCAAAGCCCATCTGCAGCTTCCGCTGGTCAACGTGCAGGGCGCACACCCTTCCTGGCTGCATGCGAAGCACAGTCAGCAGCCGGCACTTCCCCAAAGCTCTCAAGTCTGACCAACTGGACGTGGGCTCTGATCTGTGGGACATCCAGTTCTTGGCAAACAGGAAGGTGGAAATAGGGAAATGACCTCCAGGGGACGCGCTGGGCACCCAGCGCTGGGCACCGAGCGCAGTCAACAGTTAGTAATGAAAAGGGCACCTTTTGCTGAAACCGGTTTGGCTCAGTGGTAGAGCGTCGGCCTGCGGACCGATTTGATCGGTCCTGGGTTCGATTCCGGTCAAGGGCATGTACCTTAGTTTCGGGCACATCCCAAGTGGGGGGTGTGCAGGAGGCAGCTGATTGATGATTCTCTCTCATTGATGTTTCTAACTCTCTATCCCTCTCCCTTCCTCTGTAAAAAATCAATAAAATATATATTTTTTTTAAAAAAAGCACTTTTTCCTGCCAGTGCCCCGGTGTCTCCCTCAGAGGCCCTGCTGACCCCGCTCCTTCTGCATCAGTCACCCCACCCCCCCTACACCCGGCTTCGGACCCACCGTGTTGATCTTCCTGGGCAGCGGCACGGGCATCTCGGGCAGGGTGGGCGTCAGGTCGTTGGCGTCCTCGGAGGCCTGCTTCTGGAGGGCGTCCCGGGCCGGCACGTTCGGGGAGAGGTCCAGCGAGTGCGCCTTGAGGGCGCCGTCGGCGGGCGGGGCCTTGGCCAACAGGTCTGCCAGCTGCGGCTTGGGGGGCAGGTCCTTCATGTGCGGTTTGGGGGGCAGGTCTGAGAGGTGGGGCTTGGGGGGCAGGTCGCCCAGCTGAGGCTTGGGCGGCAGTTCTCCCGGCTTCGGCGGCAGGTCTCCGATCTGGGGCCTGGGCGCCAGGTCGGTGGGCTTCGGGGGCAGGTCTGCCGGCGGTGCCGGTTTCAGGGCGCCTTCGGGCGGGATGCTGGCCTTGTCCAGGGAGAGATGGTGGCTGGTCTCGGTCTTCCGGAGGGCCACTGCAGGGACAAGCCAAAGGGGGTCACGGGCGGACAGGGAGGAGGGGGGGGTGGCATCTGCTGAGCACGACCCAGCGTGAGCACCTGGAGGCCCTTGTTAAACAGACAAGAGAGGAAGCCGGAAGCCTCCCACGTCACAACTCGGGTGTCACGCTCAGTGACGTCAGGAAAGGATGTCCGAATGAGGCCGAAATTAAAACCCCAAACCATGAATAACACAGACGAGAGAGAGAGAGAGAGAGAGAGAGAGAGAGAGTCGGAAAGTACAGAGTTAAGTTTCCAGAAGTCCGTCACCTAACTGTAGCCACTGCAAATGTTTTCTTGTATTTCCTTCTTGACTTTTTAGTGTATTTTCCAAACATAAAACTTCTATCTGCTTTCATCTATATACTGTTTTAGCAAGAGTATTTGCCAGTTGCCGAAACTGGCTTGGCTCAGTGGATAGAGCATCATCGGTCTGAGGACTGAAGGGTCCCAGGTTCGATTCCGGTCAAGGGCATGTACCTTGGTTGAGGGCACATCTCCAGTGGGGGGAGTGTGCACGAGGCAGCTGATGAATGTTTCTAACTCTCTCTCTCTCTCCAACATCCGTTTACATGGGAGCTTATGAAAAGCACAGAAAAGTGAGTAAAAGGATGGACCCTCCACTTTATCTTGGTTGTTTGCATTCTTGGTGGTTTTTATTCTCTTCCTTTTTTGATCCGTATTTTTTAAGTGTCCTAGAATGAACACATCACTTTCGCAGTAAGAACCATGCAGGACTATTTCACGCAGAGCTACACATGAGCGCAGGGAGAAAGGAGGCCTTACCTTTCTGAGGTAGTTTAGGCAGAACTCGCGGGCCAAGGGCAGACTTCGCGGAACCGGTGCTAATTAATAATAATAATAATAAATAAATCATTTAGGACCTAAAGTGTTATAATGTCGGCCGTGATAGGTTATTCAAGGAAATCGGAGGCTGAGCTATCTAAAACCCTCGCCAGATCTCTTTGGCAAAAGGACAGTCTAGTTCCCACCAGTCCAAGTTGGCCCAGCTGGGAGGGTGTTCTGAATGGTTCCGACTGACTCCCCCTCCTCCCAAGCCTCTCCCCAGGGCACCGTGGTGAAAGCAGCTGGGTCCCGTCCCGGCGTGGCACACAGAGGTCGCCACGCCGGCCCCACTATCAGAGGCGGCGGCCGCGGTGACCGGCCGAGACTCTGAGCGAGGCTGGTGGTGATGGACACGGAAATCCAGACCCAGCTCTGCTGGACTCAGAGCCCTCGTCCTCCTAAGTGACCTCCCACCCCTAAGCCCAGAGGGAAAGCACCAGGACCAAAGGACTTCATGTGGAAGCTGAAAATAAGAGCTCATCCCGGCAGCCTGACTCAGGGGCGTGAGGGCCGTCCGCCTGGAGCCCCGATGGAGGACGGCTGTCCACGCCCAGCCGGGCCAGCAGCGCCGGGCCACGTGGGGTAGACCATCACCAATGCCCATCTCTGTGGTGCCGCCCGCCCCCGCAGCCACACGCCCAGCGGGACATGCGGGCTTACCTTGCCTGCTGAGACAGCCCCTCGAACTTGTTTGTGGTCTTACTGGACGAGGATGGACCCATGTCGTTACCTGCAGGGAAAAGGAAACGTCGAACGTGGCAGTCTCCGACAGAGACACGGGACGTGGGGATGTGGGTGTGGCAGGCAGGCACCCTGAGGTTCCAGAAGGGACTGGAAAGACTGACCACAGCCACCTGCTTCCCGTGACCACACGGCGCCCCAATGGTAACGCAGCAATGGCTGCTACTGTGCGCGGGCTCTGTGCTCAGTGCTCACAGTAATCCTTCCTGGGACACAACACAGCCCTCCACCCTCCCCTTCCACAGGAGGAGACACAGTCAAGCCCCAGGCCGAGTAGCTGGTGAGGGTCAGAGCTAGGACCCACATGCAGGTCTGCGCTAAACCACCCACCACCCCCCCCCCCCCCCCCGAACCAGAGGCAGGCCGGGGCTGGCAGGGGGCGGCGCTGGGCCTCCTGGACAGAATGTTCTCTGGCCACTGAGGTGACCTCCATCCTCCAAAGACATTATGTGTTCATGTCTGTCCCTCAGCCCTCTCTCCCCCCTTCCTGCGGCAAATGCCCCCTCCCCCAGCAGCACCTCCCTCCCCTGCAATAACTGTTCTCCCCTGCGGCACCTGTGTGTCCGTGTCCCCCCCCCCCCCACCCGTGGCACCTGCTCACAGGAGGGGTGCAGGTGCACAGCCGCAGCCAGACAGGCCGGTTTGGAATTCCAGCCGCACCGCTGACCGGCGGGTCTGAGTGGGCTATGTGGCCTCTGCCCCAACACCCCTCCCTAACTCCTGGGCAACCTACCCCAGGTAACCGCGCCTTTGCTGGAGGGCCCGTGAGGTAGTGGGCTGGGAGGGTCCGACAGGGTTCTCTTGTGCCCGGGGGGTGGCGGCGGGGGCCGCTTCTTGGACAGGGTGGAGGTGCCGCCGCCGGAGGACTGCATGCCGAGCGGGAGCGTGGAAGGCGGGCCGGGGGGACCTGGAAAGGCACCGAACGGGCGGGAAGGTGAGCGCCGGGCTCATTGGACAGCCCGTGTGCAGTCATTCACTTGTCAAACAGCCCGTGTGCAGTCATTCACTTGTCAAACAGCCTGTGTGCAGTCATTCTCACGTCGATGGTGGTCCGACATGGGGAGGGACGGAAGCGCAGGCCCAAGGTGGCCACGCTCGCCAACCCAGCGACGCACAGACAGGACTTCTAAAAACGGCTGGTGAGAAGCAGCGACAACAAGGAAAGGTGAGTGTGCGTCTTTAAGAAACAGGATGCCCGCCTGCATGACATGCCGATGCCCTGAGATCACATAGGTACAACGGGAAACAGAAGACACGTGCTTTACATGGTAAGTCGCTGGAATCGTGGCAGAACCCGGGGAGGAGGCGCCGACAGTGAAATCACTGAGCCACAGCGGCACCGGACTCTTCTTTCCGCCACGACCTTTCCTTTAAGTCCAAGTTTTTAAAAATATATTTTTACTGATTTTAGAGAAAGGGGAGAAGGAGAGAGAGAGAGAGAGAGAGAGAGAAGAAGGGAGAGAAAGAAACATCCACCTGCTGCCTCCTGCCTGCCCCCTACAGGAATCGAGCCGGTAATTCAGGCATGTGCTCCCCTAGGCCCACGGGAGGATGCTCAATGCAGCTGAACCACACTGTCAGGGCCCGCGTTTTTTAACGGCTCGTGTAAATAATGGAGGATGCTAAGGTAAAAAGAATCACTCAGAAGAAAAAAGACATCCCAAAACACTTTTTCCCCTCCAATTCTGATTGTTGTTCTGGACCTCATAAACCACCTGTTATATTAGAAACCTCAATAGGTTACGTACATTAGACATTGATCTCTACAGATTTAAGACTCAAGTTCCTTCAGAGACAAAGACAGGATAGCAGTCATCTTATGACTATCTTACACACACACACACACACACACACACACACACACACACACATTACTGCAAACAGGTTGACGTTTTTGAACTCATCTTTTAAGAAAAAAACATGTTTGTGGTTAGTTTTGTTTCTGGAAAGTGACACTGAAGTGCTGGTGGGTGTCAGGCAGTACTCACAGGCACTGGACACACATCTCTCTGAGACTGTCACCATGTAGACATTTAACTGTGCTCATGAATAACTGCTCCCGCAAACATTAAAAGTAAAAAAGGAGAGAAACAGAGGAAAGCTGAGAACGCGGCCACGCCACATGTGGACACATGACGGTGGCACCTGGCGATCCAGAAAGGCTGCCAGAGCTTTTTACATTCTGCGCGTCAAAGAAAAGCTTAGTAACTGCCGGCCTCGGCCTCAGCCCTGGTGATGTCAGTGTGATGTTCCCCATGATCAATTACTGATCAGAATCGACATCCACTTTATGTCTCGCTGGCCGTTTTGTTTCTCAAAGTCAGTAAAAGTGGTTAACCTCTTGGCCTCTGATTCTCTCAATCCTGTGGTGTCCCTGCATCTCGAAGCCGACCATTACCCCACATCAACACCCGATTATGGCCCTGTCAGGGCACTCTCAGGACCACTTCATCTCTGAAACAATAGTCATTGTTACCGCACCCCTGCACTTGTCTGAAGCTTTTACTTTTCCAAAGTGTCTGCAGAGGCTATTGCCCTTGATTTTCATAAAGACCTTGCAGAGTATGTGGGTGGGGAATTATGGCCCCCAGCTGTGCAGCCAGGAAAGTGGGGATCTGGGGACGTCAGGGTGACAGGCACTCGGGGCGAGCTGGGACCACACCCCAGGTCTCCGGGACAGGGAGTGCTCACCCCCTCCCACGAAGCTGCAGGTCCCCAGAGCCAGGGCAGCCGTGAGTGCCGGGTGAGGAAGTGTAACTTCCTCCTGGAAATAAATGGGGACTGGATGGACAGCAACTTCACCTCTATCGCCACCTAGGGACACGTTGGGGCACTGCACCCAAAAGGTCATTCAATGGGTTCCAGGTCCTGCCTGGAACCAAATGTCACCTTGCTAAGGGAGCGATGTCTGACCAGCGCTGTGTGCAGGCGAGTTCAGGGGCCATCAGGCCAGGGTCGTGTAACCACGAACCGAGCCAAACAGCCTCTGGGATCATTTCAACAGGAAGAGACTGTTCCTCACACCACGTTAGCCTATCAGTAGAGCTTCTGTGAGGACAGCTTTGTTTACATGCTGATGGCCTGTCTCACCACCAGGTTCTGGTGGCCAGTAGGCTGGATCCGGTAACTTAACACTGAGCTAGTGGGTGAATAGTTTGAATTCAACCTCCCCCGATAAGGCTCCATCTTTAAAGCCAGGAAATCTATCCACTCGAATCCAGAAAAACTGCCCAACTACACCCACATATAGATATTAAAAAAAAAAAAATTCATTCCTAGAATCGCAACCAGCATGCCTGTCAAACCTCCCCCTCCACTCCTGAGTCCTCTGGAGCTCCCGCGTCCTGAGCGCTGGGTGCTGGCCCGCAGACGAGGGTCTCACCCCGCCCCCTGGAACCCACCTTCGTCCCGCAATGCCGTCAGAGACCGAGGCTCGGAGCGGGGGACACTGCCAGTCCCTGCAGGGAATCGGCGGAGGGACTCCGGCCTCCTCTCGGCACCACCGCAGCCTCTGGCTTCTCTGCCTGGGAGGCAGCACGTCCCTTCTGCGGGATGCCGGCTTAAAGGTCACCTCAGCACGCCTCCTGGGACCCAGCCCTCCGCCCGGAGCCATTGCTGTTATCTCTAACTCCCACGAGGACCCACGTCACTAGCTTCTCTGCCTGCCGCTCCTCCTGCCGCCAGCTTCCTCGGGGCCAGATCCACGGGCCTTCCCCCCACCGCCCGCATGTTCCGGGCTAAGGCAGGGCTGTGGCTCAGTCAGGCAGATGCCTTTCCAGTGTCCTCATGCCTCTGGTTGTTGGCAAAACAGAAACCCAGGTCTTCCATGCGGGGAGACCAACTAAGATGTAACTTACTCAAAGGAAAACAAGGCCCAGAAGAGGCCTGAACACTTCCTGACAATCTCGGTGTAGCGTCAGTATTCTGACACGCCGCCCAATGTCAGCGACACAGGCTGCACCTGTACAGCTGTGGGCAGTGCGAATGGCCATTTTCCCAGGGTTTTCCCATTATAGCGCTTAAAAGAGTAGAAATTTTGTTACTTTAACGTCGTACTCGGCAAACTGCGGCTCGTGAGCCACATGCGGCTCTTTGGCCCCTTGAGTGTGGCTCTTCCATAAAATACCATGGTCTGGGCGGTTCTATTTTGAAGAAGTGGCGTTAGAAGAAGTTTAAAAAATGTGGCTCTCCAAAGAAATTTCAATCGTTGTCCTGTTGATATCTGGCTCTGTTGACTAATGAGTTTGCCCACCACTGCTTTAAAGGATAAAGACAATGGGTCACTCAGAGGTACTGCGTGGGAAGGACGGCGTTGAGATGGGGAAACAGGCCCCTCGGGGTGGAGTGTGTGGACACACGGAAGCCGGTGCAGACTGGCCAGGACTCCCGCGCGGCAGGGGGACCCCAGTGGCACAGCGTTAGCTGCAGAGGCCCAGGCCAGCAGCACGGAGCACGCTGAGCCCTGACTGCCCCACACCAGGCTGAGCTGAATGCCCCTTCCTCCTCATCAGTGTCCACCCCTGTCCAAGCCCAGCGGCAGCCTGGCCGTCGCGTATGTCATGAAATCGCACGCTGGGAGAAAGAGGCAGGTCCGTAGCTTACAGTTACTTAAAAACAGTGTTAAGTTGGAAGCATTGGTGTCCGTTTTCTTTTCTTTTTTAAAAAAGAGGTACTTTAAAAAAAAAAAAATTGCTTTTTTACAGAGAGGAAGGGGGAGGGATAGAGTTAGAAACATCGATGGGAGAGAAACATCCATCAGCTGCCTCCTGCACACCTCCTTCTGGGGATGTGCCCGCAACCAAGGTACATGCCCTTGACTGGAATCGATCCCGGGACCTTTCAGTTCGCAGGCCAACACTCTAACCACCGAGCCGAACAGGTTAGGGTCTAGTGTCCGTTTTCCAGGGCCTGCTCTGGGGGACAGTCCCACGGCGCTCGCCCCACTCTCCGGATTCCAGCGGCACCAGAGCCGCAGCCCAATCCCGGCAGGAGCCTCCCCGCAGCCCAAGGCTCTGCTTCCCGACAGCCTTTCTCCTGGACCGTCTCCCTGGCTTCCGAGGGCAATTCCACCAGCAGGGCCGGGGGAGATGGACCGTCTTCCCGACACGCAGAGGGAGAAACGAGGTCTGGCCGGACACGTCCTGAGGCCCATGTTCATTTTCTGTCCCACTGCAGCCACCCAGTGACCCCAAGCCCCTTCCCCTCCCCAGGGCTCTCCTGGCTGCGCAATGGCTGCGGACTGGCCTGACCTTCCAGCTTCCTCTTGCTCTCAGATGTCCTGATGTTAGTGAGAGAGGAGGCAGCGAACCCGGCAGGCCTGGAAATGCCTATCTAGTCCAAAGGAGCGCGCAGGGGGCAGGGAGCGGCACAGCGAGAGACGGCTGCTCACTTAGCTCGCGGCTCTGACCGCGTCCCGCGGGGCCTCCCTCCGCAGAGGGGAGCAGCCAGCGCGCCTGTCAAGGCTCCTGGACAGCCACAGGGGCCCTGGGTCTCCCGCTGCTGACAGCTCTGCCCTCTGCCCGAGCACAAGGAGGCTTTGCTCGGAGGCAATGAAGTCAAACGTCCTTGCATTTTGATGAGGCAGCTGGAGTTCCCGGAAAGTATTCCTGAGCGGGATTCAGCATGATTCCACGGTCCCCCTCAGTCCCGGGATTGGCGGGGACTTCAACTTCAGTGTCTGTCTCCGCCCCCCCCTTCAGAGCCGGCCTTGCTGTCATGGGAAGTGGGCAGCTGAGCGACCCAGGTAGGACATCCTGGCTCTCACGTAAACGTGTCTATTGGTTCAACAGGATGAAACGAGGGAAAGGAAAAGCCACAAGCCAGGGGGAGCCCCCTCTGCACCGAGCACCAGCCAACCTTCAGCAATGTTCGTTCTCTTAAGAACTCGCTCTAGCCGAAACCGGTTTGGCTCAGTGGATAGAGTGTCCGTCTGTGGACTGAAGGGTCCCAGGTTTGATTCCAGTCAAGGGCATGTACATTGGTTGCGGGCACATGCCGGGTGTGGGGTGTGCAGGAGGCAGCTGGTTGATGTCTTTCATTGATGTTTCTAACTATCTCTCTCCTCTCCCTTCCTCTCTGTTAAAAAATCAATAATAATAATTTAAAAAAGTGTTTATGGTTATAGAAATGATCAAATATTAAAAACAAAACGAAACAAAACTCGCTCGAAGCATGACCGCTTCCCAAGTGCATGGCACATGACCCAATGAGCTTTCCGAGAAGGCGTCTCACCAGGCCGCACCCCTGCTGGGGCATTTCCTCCCAGGTGAGCAGCAGCAGCCCAGAGCGAAGGCCCAACCCACCGTCAGTGATTGACAGGGTACTTGGGTGCCTGATGTAGGTATGTGCCAGCAAACATGGGGAGCAGCTAAAAAAACACTGCCGGCTGACCTTCTGGCTCACGCGTGCTGTCACCGTGGTCACGGTCACTGGCCATCTTCGTCGAGAACTGTCCACACCAGAGCCTCCGTTTCACTTTCCCCCGCTAGTTTATGATCCACGAGGCCATCCGGGGTCTCTGAGAACACAGCTCCCATTTATAACGCTATCTCAATGGAGAATGAGCTCTGAACAAACACCGTCCTGAATAAAGCTCACATTTCCCAGAAAATGGCCCCAGTGTGGCTGCCATAGGCCCGCATTGTGCGCGGAGCGGCCGCGAGGCCGTGTGAGCCGCTGCGCTGGGCTGTGTAGGGGGAGCCCTGGCTGAGAGCACATCCCGGCTCCGGCCGGGGGCCCCCGGGCTTCCACGGCTGCCTGACCCTGGGATGTGGGCACTTCTGGGTCTCCTCTGTCCCCATTCCCGTTGGTTAAGGTGACCAGACGTCCCGCTTTTGGCGGGACAGTCCCAATTTTCAACAATTTGTCCCGCAGCGTTTTTAAAAAGTCCCGATTTTTCAAAAATTGGACTCGGGACCATTGGGGAAACACCTGACTTCCTGTGCAGGTTGGTCTCTGTGGACCCAGGGGCACAGGACAAGCACTGGTTGCTAGAGAACAAGGCGGTGGCCCCGGCATTAGCCTGCCCCATCCCCTCCTCCGGGGAGGATTCTGCCGCGGGGCCTGCCTCATCCCAGAGAGACAGGAGGGTTAGATCACACAGGGGCTCAGGTCACACAGGGCCTGGGGGGGCGTCCTCACAGTCGAGAGCCGGAGGCCACTCACTCAGCATCTCTGAGCCACTGTCCCCCAGTCCCCACAACCAGCACTGTCGCCCCCACCTCATTGTGAACAGGAAAAAGACTGGGTCTGGGGCCTCCAGGGCTCCACCTGTAAGCAATGCCGCTGCCACAACACTTCAGAAGAGAGGCATGCTGGTCTAGCGGAAAGCCACTTTTACATAACCAAAATCCTCTTACGAAAAAGCCCAGGTCTCGGATCCTCTGTGGACCTTGGATTGAATCTGAACTCTTACCACTTACCAGCTCCACGACCTTGACAAGCCATTCTACCTCCCTAAGCCTCAGTTCCCACATCTGCAAAATGGGCGCAAAGAGCACACCCCAGACAGGACTGCCGTTGAGGTTCACACAGAATGCGTGTGGCGTGCCCACAACACTGTCTGCTGGTGCTGGCATCCCATCCCATAGGCTGCCACCCACACACACCTGGGTGACTTCCACCCACAGGCTGGGCGACGCCTCGCTCCGAGGGTGGAGCCACGGGGCGCTGCTCAAAGCCCGTACCTTTGCCGGCGTTTCGAGGAGGCAGCGGAGGTGCCTCTGAGGTGGGCGACGTGGGCGAGTCCGTGCTCGTGGAGGGGAAGATCTGGTTGGGGAAGGCGCTGTAGGAGAGCCGCTGCTTGTCCCGCGGGGTGCCGTACCCCGGCTGCGCCAGCTTGTCCTGGGGGGAGATGCTGGAGGAGTGGCAGAAGCTCTGGGGGCGCGGCGAGCGCTCCTTCTTGATGGGGCTCGGCTGGAGGGGAGAGAACAGGGCAGAGGGTGAGACAACCCTCCGGACTCAGGGCGGGCGGGCTCCTGGGTACTACCCACAACGCCGGCCTGAGACGACCACACGGGACAGGGAAGGACGCAGACCTTCCTCACGTCACCAACGCCAGGGTCACGTTAGGGGGACACTGGTTGGGGATCAGCAGCGCCAGAAGCTTAAGATCTGTTAGGTTTAGCCTTTGATCCACAAGTCCCTCTGGTGCAGGCCATGGTCACCAGCATTTGAACAACGGGCCATTACACGCTCCTTCGTGGTCAGCCATTTAAAGCTGGGATTCTCAATCCTCACCTCTTCCCCCGGGCACTCTCTGAGAAGCAGCCTCACCCACACCCCTGGCTTTGACTGACACCCAGTGCTGACTCAGACCTGCAGGCCCACCCCCACCCCCTGGATCTGCACCCTGGTGACAGCTTTAGCATCCACGGCTTTCCGAGGCAGGAACCTCTGCCAGAGCCACGGCTGTGCCCAGAGAGCTCGGGAACGCCCCCAGGCTGTGTGCACGGACCCCCCAGCTCCCACTGAAGCAATGGCACCCCAGAACGGCCCGATTCCGTCTCGTTCAATCCGCTTTCCGCACTGACGCAGGGCTGGTGGGAAACATGCCCTTCCCAACAGAAATCTCTGTCGGCTTCTCACAGCCACAGGTGCGAGTTTGAAAAATTCACTGGCTTTATCCAAAGCCAAAAGGTCAAACGCGGCCCACAGAGCTTCCTGAGCCGGGCTGCCTGACTCTGCGGCCGCCTCCGGCCTCTCTCCGCCCAGCCCACCTGCAGTGGCCTCACACGCTGAGCTCTGACCTCCCTCACATCCGGGCACCAGCATGACCTCTGGGCCTTTGCACATGCGCTCTCCCTTCCTGGGAGGATGCATTCCTCCTCCCTCTGCCCGGCCAGCTCCTCCCTGCCCTTAGGAGCCATCTCCACTGCCCGTCCTTGACAAGGTCTTCACTGCTGTGTCCTGCGAGCCCTCCTCAGCACCCCCAACTCCCATTTTTGGGGTTTCCACGGTTACCAGGATGGCCTGTTGTCTCTAAATTAAGGTGACCTGATGTCCCGCTTTTGGCGGGGCAATCCCGATTTCTAACAATTTGTCCCTCGTCCTATGTGTTTTAAAAAAGTCCCGATTTTTTTTTCGCCAAGACCGGTTTGGCTCAATGGATAGAGCGTTGGCTTGGGGACTGAAAGGTCCCGGGTTCGATTCCGGTCAAGGGCATGTACCTTGGTTGCGGGCATATCCCCAGTAGGGGTGTGCAGGAGGCAGCTGATCAATATCTATCTCTCATCGATGTTTCTAACTCTCTCTCTCCCTCTCTGTACAAAATCAATAAAATATATTTTTAAAAAATAAAAAAATAAAAAAGTCCCGATTTTTTTTAAAGATTCTTTCCCCCAACTGGGGATGTGCCCGTAACCAAGGTACATGCCCTTGACCGGAATTGAACCTGGGACCCTTCCGTCCGCAGGCCGATGCTCTATCCACTGAGCCAAACCGGTTAGGGCCTTACCATACATTTTGGACTTGTCGGCCCTCAGGCACATGTGAGCCAACCCCCTGAAAGCAATCCCATGTGCTCTCTCCAGGGATACACGTCCCGACGGTTCTGTTTCTCTGGAGACCCCTGACTGATGCAGCTGCTACGTGGGACGCAGAGGGGCACAGAGTCTGAGCCAGGACCATGGCGCTGGTGCAGCAGGTCACAGACCGCGCGACCTCGCTCAGTCTCGTCAGACGGGCAGAGAAGCGGGGACTCACACTCACCTTGTCGTCCAGGTCGTCGTCGCTCTCGTCCATCTCCTCTTGGCGCAGGTTCCACTCGTACTCCACGTGCACGTGCGGGTTGAACTTTCCGGACTTGGCCTGGGAAAGCTGAAAGGAACGGCGGGCGCAGCCACTGTCATTCCAACGCCAAACACCCCGACGTCACAGAGACACCGAGCAAACCCCGCCTGTTGCCGGCTCCCCATGAACCTGCAGCGGCGGCTTCCTAAGCAAACCCCTGGCCGTCCACGCTGGGCCAGCGGGCCGCTCAGAGGAACTGCCGGGAATTCCGGGCCTGGTCAATTTTAGTTTGACAGCGTGACTGTTCTCCAGGGTGCAAAGCCTTCTTACATATTATTGAAATTAAAATGAGTCTCAAAACTGCAAAATCTTGGCTGGAAGGCAGAATCACAGTCAGGGAAGTGCGAGGGGCGGGCCTTTCAGATCAGACAGTCCCCTTTCAGCCCCCGTCCCCCAGTTCTGCGTCACACACGGGGACGGGGCAGCCAGACTTCCTCGCAGGAGCCTCGCGGGAACAGAAAAGCGTCATGGCGGGCCTGGAGCCCGGGCAGGGAACCTACCTTTCCTAGCTCACCCTTCCCCGGGTTACGGGCATCGCGGTCCGCAGCGGCCTGGAGCTGTGAGCAGGGACCGGTGGGGTCAGAAGAGGTGAGTGCGTGCAGGGACACGGGCGGAGAGCCGCGTGCTTAATGTTTCAAGACCAGTGTGCTCTGCACCTCACCTGCCCGACTGTTTGGCTGCCTGGACAGGTCTTCCTGACCGAGAGCCACAGAGGAAGCCTCTCACACGCCTCCCAGCTCCCCATCACAGCTGCACGCCAAGGACAGGCGGGGGACACATTTATCGTGTTTGCAAATGCAGCCACGGTGCTTGTCGGAATCTCTTTAGCCAAAGTTAAAAAAAAAAAAAATTGCTTCTTTTTACTAATATCTCCAGTTCCAGAGAACGCCACTTCAGGGCAGCTGATGTCTGTTAGACACCCACACCTCATGGCCACGCCTGCTTACCACATCTTTTTCTTAAAAAAAAAAAAAAAATTTAGAGAGGAAGGGAGAGGGAGATAGGAACATCAATGAGAGAGAATCACTGATCGCTGCCTCCTGCATGCCCACTACTGGGGATCGACCTCACAACCAGAGCATGTGCCTTTGACCAGAATTGAACCTGGGACCCTTTAATCCGAAGGCTGATGCTCTACCCACTGAGCCATACAGAGCTGCTTACCAGATCTTCACACTGGGTGGCTTTCAGTCTCCTTGCTATGTCGAGGGCAGTCTCTCCAGCCTGGTTCACTGAAATAGGGGAAACACACGTGTGTGATTAGGACAGACCTCTGACAGGCGGAGACGACGGTCAGATTACAGCGCAGCAGGCAAGCTCAGGTCCCGCCGGCTGCTGAGCCCCGCGCGTGCTCACCCACGTCCACGGTGGGCTTGCTCCGGAGCAGCAGCTTCAGGCACTCGGGCTTCTCGAACATGCTGCAGTAGTGCAGGGCCGTGTTCCCCAGGGCCGTCTGCTTGTCCAGGTTCCCGCTGAAAAACCAGAGCAGGGGAAAAACAGCTGCCTCTCAAGCTCAACACTGCAGGGTGAACCACTATGTCTGGGCTAACAGCTGAGTCATATCTCAGACCTGTTTATTATGAACTTAGGATGCTCTGACATTTCACCCAAACTTACAAGCAACACGTGACGACAGTAGTCAGCACCGAGTGTACTGTGAGACAGACACCGTCTCTCAGCCCTTCACCTGTCCTCGCTCATGTCCCCTTCACAACCCCCTGATGGGAAGGTGCTATCACAATGTTCACTTTATCGATGAAAACACTTGGGCACAGAGAGGACGTAGTGTGCGTGTTTGAGATACCCAGGACACGGATGATGGAGCCATGTGAATGCCGGCAACGTGTGTTCTTAGCCAATGCTCTTGACCACGGCACCTCTAAGGGGCCTGGCCATTCACACAGCATGGCTTGGATCGCCCTCACGGTTTTGCTCACCCGGTTCCTCCTCAAAATCTGTGGCTTACAGATCTACCCCATGAAGAACCCAGCAAGTCCAAACCTCCTGTGCTGAATATTATACTATCAGCACATCCCAAGTCCAAATCAGCCACACACTGCTGTCTTACAATGAACATCTTGTGGACCTGCCCTGTTAAGTCTTTTCTTTCCCAACCTCCCTAGCGCAGCAGGTTTTGGACCCAGAGATAGGATCAGGGGTTGGTGAACCACAGCTGCAGGCCTTCTCTGGCCCTTTGTTTGTTTTTGTAAATAAAGTTTTATTGGAACATGCCCACGCGCACTCATTTGCATACTGCCTCTGGCTGCTTTTTTTCCTGTTGCAGTGGTAGTGTTGAACATCTGCGACAGAGACCTCATAGCCTACAAAGCCAAAAGCAGTATCTGGCTCTTTCCAGAAGGGCATGCTGATGACTGATCGCGGCTGCTAACAGGACTGGCCTGTGCTAACTTACAAGGCCCGTTGAGAGGGAACAGAAACCATACCAGTTTTGGACAAGGAAGTCAACCAAATGGAGAGATGTCTGGTCTGCAGTTCGGACTGCAAGATGAAGGGCGGTCTCCCCGAGCTCCTGAAAAGAACAGGTAAGTATAAACAGGTGGTCGCATGTCCTACTTGGTCTAGAGCCGTTTCTTTCTTTTCTTTAAAAAAAAAAATATATTTTATTGATTTTTTACAGAGAGGGATAGACAGTTAGAAACATCGATGAGAGAGAATCATCGATTAGCTGCTCTTGGACACCTCCTACTGGGGATGTGCCCACAACCAAGGTACATGCCCTTGACCGGAATCGAACCTAGAACCTTTCAGTCCACAGGCTCTATCCACTGAGCCAAACTGGTTTCGGCAAAAGCCATTTCTTTTATCATACATCATTACCCCCAAATAATTAGTAACAGCCCCCCTCCCCTCTCAGATTGTCCTGATTTCAACGGGGCACTTGGTGTGTGACAGCCTCATTATAATAACGAGTCATCTCTGAAAGGGACGGCCCACGTTCCCCTCGATCCGATGGCGCCAGCACGGCCTCACCTGCCCGGGCTCCAGCAGCGGCTCCATGAGCTCCACGCCTTCCGCGTAGACCTGGACGAGGGCAAGCAGGTCCCGGGACCGCACGGCCTCCATCAGCTCGTTCAGCTTAGCCGACGGAGAGGAGCAGGTCTTCCTGGAGAAGCGATGGTCCACGTACTTCGCCGTGATGTACTCCTTCCGCGCGGTCCTAGACAGAGCGTGAGGCGAGCAGCGTCATTTCCCTGGGCTGAGAAAGGGTCACCTCTTTGCGGACCCAGGCTGCTTTTTGAGAAGTTATTTTGGTTTAAGATACGCCATTAAAGACCTATTGGGAGGTCTGCCGAGTTCAGAGCGGAAGAACCATGTTGCTTGGATGTGTCCCATAATAGTTTTGCGAATTTGGTGGCCGCATAACCACCTAGGAGGGGCTGGTCTGACATGTAGGCTGGCGCCTGTTTCACAAAACCATCACTGATCGCAAGAAGAATGCTATCTTTCTTCCTAGTCACCCACAGGATTGAACCAATTTCAAGTGCAAAGCCAATGTGAAAGTTTTTGAATAGGTTTAAAGATGCACTTGACTCAAAACTAAAAATGATACCAGAAGGGGTTTACTGAGGGGTCTCACAGTCACACCACCAAGACCGAGCCCTTAAGGTTGCTGGGTACCAGTCTTTTCCCGGGTTTCTTCAAGCAAACACAATTTCAAATAAGTGCATGGTTATGTATTCATCGCTGTCCAAATCTATTTGGTGTCTGAGTCCAGACAGTAAATTGTGAGAGTTCAAACGTGAGGGATAGATCAGCAAACATGCCCACAATTCAGTTCCTGAGCCTGGACAACATGTCTGTGAGCAGAGGGATTCATGCACTCATTCCTACGCGCCCTCTCCCCTCCCCAGGCCAGGCAGCCAGCCATGAAGCATGACATCAGATAGAAGCCTATAGGAGGATGCTTGCTTTGTCCCCCATCTTCCTCTCTGACACAAGGGTACCGACCCCCCGAAGTGGGCCTGCTGAGTCAAAGGTAAACACAGTCCTGACTATGACAGATGCAGCGAGCGCTCCTCACGGGCAGGGCCACCCGGACCCCAGCAGCCGCCCCGGGGACTCTGGGACGTCTGCTTCCCCACAGGCTCCCCGCGGGGGCTGCCACGCATCTGGGCCTTTGCCAACCCAACAGGCATCTCCCCCTGCTGCTGTGTCTCCTGTTTATCACAACAGGCGTGACTGAGAGAATCGTCCTCAGGACGCTTTACCCTCCGAGCAGCCGCTAGCGACTCCCCAGGGGGAGGTGATGCTGAAAATAAATTCCACAAGCGGGTTTCGAAATACGTTTCTTTGCTCTGCTTTTTCCTCATTCCTCATAATGGGGTTTCCTCTTGGGAGGTGTGTGTGGGGGGTCCTATAACCACTAAGATGATTTTTTGGGAGGGTTGAAAAACAATGACAGATGGTAAAGAATTCAATATGTTGAAAGTACTCACATGTCGCTCATCGGGGTAGGCTTCGGTGAGGGGCTGGGTAAATTGGCTTCCATAATGTCATTGAAACTATTGTTCCCGATGGTCTTGGCCAGCTGTAACGGACACCATGCAGCGAGCTCGTTACCACAGGTCTAAAAGTTCCTCACTATTGCTGACTGGGTGCCTTCCTTCACTTGACTCAGGATATGAACCATCCAGCCACCTGGTCGACAGGTATTTGCTGAGCACTTACTACGTGCCAGGCCTCAGAGCTGGAAACACCGAGAAGGGATTTCCATGTTCCCTCCCGAAGGAGCTAACTGACTAGAGGTAAGAAAACTAACGTTTTTTTTTTTTTTTTTTTTTTTTTTTACAAATACAGTGTGGTAAGAGCTAGAACAAAATAGGATGTGGTTCTACACACACACACACACACACACACACACACACACACCCCATCTGAATCCGACACGGCAGGCTCCACATACGGATCCAAATGCTTACTGAACAACACTGGCTCTGCAGCCACCGCCGTGCTTCATTTTTGGTTGAGGGGATTTACTCTAATTAGACAGAAAAGAATTTAGGGCTTCTTTATATTGGGGATACAAATTAAGATGCCGCCCTGGCTGGTGTGGCTCAGTGGTTGGAGTGTCAGCCCCCGAACCGAAGGGGTGAGGGTTTGACTTCCAGTGAAGGGCTCATACCTGGGTTGCAAGTTCGTTCCCTGGCCCCCGTCGGAGCAGGAGCATGAGGCAACCAATTGATGTCTCTCGTTCTCTCCCGCCCTCCTGCCCTTTCTTTCCTCCTTCCTCCCTTCCATTCTATCTGAAGGCAATGGAAAAATATCCTCAGGTGAAGATTAAAAAAAAAAAAAAAAAAAGATGCAGCAGGCAGCTAATGAAGAAGCTCCATGCTTCTGGGTTCAAGAACCCTTCCCCGCCCCCCAAAATCTACCCTGAAGGTGCTCTGGCCGTTCAGAGAACGTGGGAATCAACAGAAAGTATAAGCAGCGTCCATGACAGCCGTCTCTGGGGAAAGGTGTGAGTCCATCACATGGACTCTTCCTGTTTCTGGCTGCCTCACTGGGTGTCACTGATGAGTCAAGGAGACCCACACCCACACGGGAGGAGCAAGTTTCAGTGTTAGCCTTTCCCCTCCGGTGCTGAGTGACCAGGGAGCCGGCATCAGAATACTTCCTACGTCTCCTACTTCCTAAATCAAGGGGCTCCTACACCCAAGACAGCCCCCCATTGCTTGAGGGGTGCTCAGACGATACGGCTGCTGGCTGGTGGCTGACTCTGGGGTGCTGGGCGCCAGACAAGCTCCTGAGGAGCTGGGCTTCCGGCTGTGAAGCCAGGCTCACTCGCTCAGGTTTGGCTCGAGGGCCTTGGGTCTGAGCTGGAGCCTGTTTCACGCCCTGCGCTCTCACTGTTGGAGACCAGTTAGTGTGAATCCCGGCCCGCCACATTCACATTGTGCAAGACAGGGCTCATGGCCACAGGCATTTTGGGAGATGCCCGACCGGATCTTCATACTGGGGGGGACCAGAAAAAGACCCCAAATTTGGGTGAATCATGATGGGAGGGCAGGTGATAAGCCCACACCTGCACAGGCCTTCCCTTACTGCCTAAAGGAGTCTAGACGGGAGTGACTGGTGTTAGGACAGGAGCTAACAGGCCACTCGCAGTTCACGTGCACTTTTAGAAACTTACAAAAAGTGAAAACAGAGAAGAACTCGTAGGTCACTGTTTCGGAAAACAGAAGCCCCTGGGTAAGGCGAATGTGGGAGTTCATAGCTTCCCCCTCTTGATTGCTTTTCAGTGAATCATGTGAGACTAATTCCGAAAGAAGAAAACAGCTCTGAAAAAGCCCCCCCCCCCCACCCCCCCGCCGAAAAGAGAACCGGTAGCGGAACTGAGTATGGAAATGTGTGACTCACCAGTTCTTCGCAGGGGAAACGGAAACATCAACATTGCACACCACAAAATTCGCATCTTAAGTATCGATGCAAATTAAACAACATCCAGGAAGGAGATGTCTGTGTCCTCACCAGAAACAGGAACCTCAAAGCACTATGCTATTATACATGTGTTCACGGCAACAGACGCATAACGTGTTCTTCCATAGCCCAGGCCACTACTCACCAAGAGTTCAGAAGTTCCCAGCTTGTCTAGTTCCAGAGACTGAATGCGGGAAATATGGACCCCCATTTCCCTGTGGATTCCAGAACATTCGATGCAGGTCAAAATACCCAGGTTGGTCGAAAGCCAGGTGGGTTCTGTGGGAAGGATTGTGGAGACAGAGTGAATAAACAAAGAATCTAGTTTTAGTGCGCCAACTACAGAGGATGCTAAAAACAACAGTGGTCCAACGTGAAAGAGTTATGGGGGAAGATTTAAATGGAAGACAAAGATATCGATAGATACCTGCATCTGGCCAAGGGCCTATAGCTTGTTAAAGAGCAAAAAGTGTAATATGACATGTTTTAAAAAATTTTCCTTTCAAAACTGAATTGAAAACCAAATGAAGTGAGGGGGAAGACTGGCGATTCAAAGCCAGGATGATGGGTCCAGGCCCAGTGCTCTCCCCCGCTGCCCCTGGTGCCATTTCACTGGGCCTCACCAGGAAAGATGGCATTCGGGCAGGGGACCGAGTGGGGAGAGCAGCGGGAGCTTTCTAGGGTCATTCCCGCTGGGGACCGTGCTGGGCGTGTCCGTAAGGAGGCAGGGTTTTAGGTCCCTCGCTCGCGCATCTTCCGCAGGAAGAGCGGAGGCGATGGCCACGCCAGCTCTGCGCGGGGGGGACACAGACCCGAGGAGCCGCAGTCACAGCAGACGTCATTGCCAGGCAGCCGCTGGACGTCCTCGATGATGGCTTTGGTCAGGTCCTCCAGGCTGTTCTCGCCCGTGCTCTGCTCCCCGCGGAAGGCCATGGTCAGGGCCTCCTCTTTGCTGTTTGTCAGCACCGAGATCCATCTGTGGTCCAAACGGGGGAAGGAGACACTGTTTTCTCCTCACGTTGCAACCAATCTGACTTCACCAAGAAACACTGACACAGCACCCCACACAATGAAGTAGGAAGAGAAGGAAAGGAAGTAAACTTAAAGGAAAAAGGATCACAGCATGGAAAGCAGCGTGTCAGAGAGAACGGGTGATGAGAAGAACAGACGAGGGAGGCAGAGTCTCTGTCACCGAGGACCTGCAGGGACATCTGGACAGAACCATGGGCGCTGACGGAAGAGGGACCAGCGAGGGACCAGCCCAAAGCAAGGATGAGAGAGAACTGGTGACAGGAGGCAGGGAAGAGCTCAGCAAAAGGCATCTGTCCTCTGGAGGCCAGCTCAGTGAGGGCCCTTGACGCGGAAATAAACAGGGCGTTTCATTAGCGGTTGTGAAAATTTATGCTCAGGAGCCCTGGCCGGGTGGCTCAGGTAGTTAAAGCATCATCCCGATACACCACGGTTGTGGTTTGATCCCCGGTCGGGGCACATACGGGAATCAACTAATGAATGTGTATATAGATGAAACAGCACAGTGATGTTTCTCTCCCACTGGCTCCCTCTCTAAAATGAATAAATGAAAATTAGAAAAAAAGAAAAGAAAGTTTATGCTATGAAAAAGGTATATGAATATGGAAACATGCTGGCATTTTAATATAAAATAAAAAGTGAAGGCTATTAAATGGCATACACAGTAGGATCACAGTATGTATGGAACAAAAAACATTTGCCTCCAACCTGTGCGTCGGATAACCTAAGTGCCCAACAACAGAGGGCTGACTAATAAGGCCTGAAATAACCCAGCTACTGAAATGTAATTTTTACTAATTTTTTAATGACTTCGGGGAAGTTCTCACAATGTAATATTTTGTGAAATAAATAAGAAAAACTATTGCATTATATAACCACAAATTTAAGTGAATGTACGGATTACATATTTTTGTTTTGGGGGAAAAACAGCTAGAAAGAAATTCATGAAATGATAATACTGGTTATCCCCGAGTGACCTTCTATAGGAAAATGAAGATGGATCGCCTTACTCTGTGCCTTCCTATAATTTTCCATCTATAGGGAGCTTGTGTCACTTTCATAGATGAGGAAAAAGAGCCAAATTTATTTTTTTTAAGAAGAAATTCCAATCACAGTTTGTTCTCACTGACTGCAAAGTCAGGTAATATCTATTCTCAGCAGAGAATACAGAGGTCCAGAACTGAGTCTGTAGTTTTTTTGGTGTCTTGTAGGATCAAATGGATATGAAACAAAGGACTAGCTACAAACAGTTTTGAATTAGTAACAGAGACAGCAATGGGAAGGAAATAAAGGACAAACCAAATGTTGTGGAGTCCGTGAGCTGCAATTCATGCCTTTGGCTCTAGGTGGAGCTCACCTTAAGTTTGTTGTGAGGAATGCATTTGCACAGCTTTATCTTTTTTTACTGTGATGTGGAAAACTACACCTCAAAACCAACACTCTAGGGATGGGGTGTGTGAGGGGATGTCACTATGCAGCTTTTAAATTAAAATGCATTATTTTCTATAGTTTAGTCTCAAGTTACAAACTACAAATTGATTTGTTAAAAATAGTTTGAGAGACTGGATTCTATAGAACCGGACACCACGTGTTATCCTTGGCACTGAGCTTACTGAAGTTTTCACTGACTACAGGGTCTCTGTTTTGCTTTCCTTAAGCATTCTGATGTTCTGCCTATTTAGTATTACACACACATACTATGTGCCAAGTACTTAGAATTTTTTAAACACAATCCTCCAACCTGCCTCCCAGGGCCTCTTACCCCTGAGGAACATGAAACCCATAGTGGACTGGACACCACTTTTTTAAAGTTCCTTCTGTTATGCAATTTTTGCCTCTTTATTCAAGAGCTGGTGACAAGTAAGGAAATAAAGCAGCCTGTCACGATAATCAGAAAATACAAATATAAAGGACAATGAATTCCCTGAAGGAACCATTCAAATTTGCTGAAATGGAATGGCTGCATTTCAAAAGGGTGGAGAATCAAGATAGCTATTTCTGACAATTAAAGAAAAAACCTTTTAAAGTATTTTAGAGTAACGGCATACAAAAATATAAGAACAAGAAGAATGCATCTGTCTCCTTCTTCCTTGGTGAGAAGTGATTTCTTTTTTCTTTAAAAAATATATATTTCTTTATTGATTTCAGAGAGGAAGGGCGATGGAGAGATAGAAACATCAATGATGAGAGCGAATCAGTGATTGGCTGCCTCTTGCACGCCCCCTACTAGGGATCAAGCCCACAGCTTAGGCATGTGCCCTTGGATGGAATTGAACCTGGGACCCTTCAGTCCACAGGCTGACGTACTATCCAATGAGCCAAACTGGCTAGGGCGAGAAGTAATTTCTTCGTTCAGTTTCACTGGACACTTTTCCCACAAGAAAGTGCCTCTGTGTAACTTGGGAGGCGAATGGAGGAGAGAGAGCAGCGTGGGCTGGCCCGGTGGAGAGAGCTGGCATGGGGGACCGCCAGAGGGCGGTGGCGGTGTTGACCATGGAAATCTTTACATGTGGTATACAGGACGGAGGCGCGGGGTGCCATTAGCTCAAAACTACTTACGCTACGTAATCCTGCTCGTCTTCTGCCTGGAAGTGATACGTCCTGTTATCTAAAATACAAAGGAGAAAAGAACGGGACACCTTAGAAAGCAGAATTCCTAAAAAACAAACCAAAAAACCCATAGTAAAAGTAGGGTTTTACAATTACTTTGTGTTTACGCCATTTTGTTTTAGCAGCTACACAACTCATGTTGTCAGCACTGTTTTTCTAAAGTGCCCCAGGAATGCCGTAAAATAACTGCCAGTTAGGAAAAGGAAGTGGGAGGGGGATGGTCCCGCCTGCTCGAGCGGGTTCCAGCGACAGCCTGCGGAGTGCCAGCTGCCACGGCGGTATTTTACTTTTCATCCTCAACTTGCCTTTTATTGTGTTTCCTTAAAAAAACACACAGACTTTCCTCGGACAGCAGGGCTCAGTCTAAAAGCTGCCCTGCCGGCTGCTCTCTGCGCAGGTCAGCTTCAGGCCGCTGCCCAGGGGAGGAGGGAGTGGCCTGGCTTCGACAGTCTGGGCAGGTGTATATTGTAAGGGAAGCTCTGGCTTAAAACTCAGAATCCGTTAGAACGCTTCAACACAGTCAGGTCCAACTACCCGTCACTTAACTAGCCAGTCACGCACTATGTGGCCACTCCAGGCTAGGCATTTACACCCTCATCTCCTAGAGAGAGGTTGTTTATGCCCAAGAACACACTATGGGTAGTAGAGCCCAAGAGTCTCAGCTGAATCTCTGCTTTAATGCTGTGTGACCTTGTATAAGTAACTGAACCTCTCTGAGCCTGTTTTCTGTCAAACAGGACACCAATGGGGCTTTTTGTGAGGATTGGCAATAACATATATAAAGCACCCAGCACACACTGGATGTCCAATAACTGGCGACTAGTTATACACTGAGTGGCCAGATTATGATCTCTGAACACGAAATAATCTGGCCACTTGGTGTGTGTGTGTGTGTGTGTGTGTGTGTGTGTGTGTGTGTGTGTTTGGGGTCCAGAAAGGTGCATCTACACACACACAGGCGCGCACACACGCACACGCACACGCACACCGAGTGGCCAGATATTTTATATATATATATATATAGATAGATAGATAGATAGATAGATAGATAGAGGCCTGGTGTGTGAATTTGTGCATGGGTGGGGTCCGGACAGCCTGGCAGGGGGAGAGAACATGGGTGGTTGGCCTGCTGGTCAAACTCCTGATGGAGGGGACAATTTGCATATTAGCCTTTTGTTATATAGGATATACACTGAGTGGCCAGATTATTATGGGTTTAGAGACCATCATCATTTGGCTACTCAGTGTATAGTTCAATAACCTACAGGGTTTGAAACGGAGAGATCTAGGCTTTTTGAAATCTTATAAATCCGACTTCTCACTAATAACCCAAGAAACCTCTTGGTCATAAAGTCACAGGGGCTCTGAACTTCAATAGTTACAGAATCCAGCTCAGGTGCCCCGCAAAGAGCCTTGGCAGTGGAAATGGGCGACGTCAGGGTCCACAGCCACTGGACCCGGAGAGGAGGAGGACTCACGTGAGATCAGGTCAAAAGACTTCTTGTCCTCGGCATTTGGCTTCACCTGGCAGGTGAGGAGGTTCAACTTGGCTGGCTGCCTGTTAGCCTGGAACAGAGAAAACGGAGCTGTTACCTGCTGCACCTCCCCTGCCTGCCAGGCCAGTGCCCTGAGGGCAGGCATGCAGATTCAGGCAGCAAGCTTGATAAAGTCTTTCCCCACTTCAATCTGTTGTTCACTCATTTATGCATTCATTGGTGGATTCTTGCACGTATCCCGAGTAAGGAGTGAACCCGCAGCCTCGGCACACTGGGACAATGGTCTAACCAACTGATAGTTGGCCAGGGCCAAATGTGATATAGTCTTATATCCAGATTCTGAATCTCATTAAAAAAAAAAAATTGGTGGTCTACGAAATGTCTGTTAACTGTACATAAATACGATATTGGTGCTTAATCAGAATGGAATCAGGAAAATCCACCCTTAAATGGAGAGTTGGTACGGCCAATGGAAATGCACCTTTCTAGACCCTATGCACATCAGGCCAAAGAGTCAGCACTTTCAATATCGCTTCCTGCTGTGAAATGCAGTGGAGTACATCTCATTCATTCATTCATTCATTCATTCAGAATGTCCCCAGACAACAGTCACCCCAACCTGGTGTCCCAGATATCCACAGTTGTAGTTGCAACATGGAACGTACAGAACTTCTCTCAAGTACGTGGACAACTACCACCCTCGAGACACAGCTCAGTGAGCCCCCGAATCTGAGGACAGAAAATCTAGCCAGGATTTCACATCACAGATTTATCAGCGAATCTCTTGGTCACATGTATCATTTACACAGACCCTGTAGTGTGTGCACAGCCAGGTCAATTTAGGCTTTTGCCTAAGTGGAGCCTTGTCATGTAATCATTCTGGTCAACCCTAGTTCTTGACCTCTGCCTGCATCTGTTCAGGGTCACATGCTGGCCAATGCCGAGGCCAGCCTGTCTGCTTCCTGCAAGAGCCGACAATGGACTGAAGCGTCTGAGTGCCCAGGCTGGGCAGGACCGGAAACTCACTGACACTTAGGATCCTCAAAATCCCCATGCCAGCAACTTTTCCACCAAGCACCCCAAGTTTTTAGAAAAAACAGAGTTGGGGGAGAGGAAGGGAGACGCCACAGTGTGAACAAGCGAAGCCCTGAATGACAGAGATGGCACGTGTTTGAGACGATTTCAATGACACGCTGCCGTTCTCAGTCTCAGCGACAAGCAATGGACACTTCATCTCTTGTCTACCTTTTTGTGCTCTCTGGACAATTTTCGAGATCTTCCTATCTGGGGTTTCGACACAGAAAACAAGCCCCTTGGCCTGTGCCCTTCTGCTCCAAAGCAAGCTGTCCGGGCGGAAGTGAGAGCTGAGGTATCTCAGGCTCCTCACCCGTGCTTCTGGCGTAGACATGGAAACCAGGGGGGCCCTGTCAGGAGAGTCCGGCCTGAGGACACACTGCATGCCAGATCCCGAATGGGGAGGCGGGGCCACGGGCCTGCATGCTGTGCTCAGGACAGCCCTGGAGCTTGGGCTGCCAGCGGCCTCACACTCCTCACCAGTGGCTGCACCCCACCCAGGCCTGGCCACTGTGCAAGGAGCTGTCCGTCCTGCAGTGCGTCTGTCTGGCTCTCCCGGTGAATGACAGGGCACCCGATGGCCTGAGAAGGCAGCCATGCCAGGGAACGGGCTCTCGGTAGCCTGCTAAGCTCCGGTTTGGCATCCACGTGTCCAGGAGGATGTGGAAAAGCTTAGGGAAGATGGAGAGATGATTAAAGGGATGGGAAACAAGAACTTTGAAGATGGGTAAAGGCACTATTTAGTCCCGAGGAAAGATGGCGAGGGAGAGGCTTAATAAGCATCTTCCAGCCCACGAGGCTGCTCTGGGCAGCCTGGCAGCTGGTTTCCATCTGCGCAGACCAGGCAGAAAGGCGCTCGGACTGCAGGCGGAGGCCAGAGCCAGACGCAAGGAGGAACTTCCAAGCTGAAGTTGATGAAGCATAATAAGAGGTTTCAAGTTTCTGAGCCGAAGGAGAAAGCTCTTTGAAAAAAACCTAGGGATTTTTCTAGACACATTCACATCCGAGTGTGGCAGAGGGTTAACTAGACGGTTTCTTTTTTGTCCCAAATCCACGTTATTCCAGTGTTTCTGAACAACCTTACCGACAGATACAGCCATACAGATAGAAAACTTAAAAAAAAAAAAAAAAAAGGGGGGGGGAGGGGAAAGAACACTCCAGTTCAGTGTTCACTCGTTCGGGGGGATGACACAGCACCACTCACCCCTAAGCACAGACCGCCTCTCAGCACAGCGCCCAAAAGCAGAGAGGATAAGGCCCTGATATGGTTTGAGCCGTTTCATAATTGGATTCCATGGGACGGCCGTGGCCGCCTCAACGTGAACTTCAGGACACGGACAACACAGCCTGCCTGAGCACAGTGCTTGTCCTCCCCCGAGACAGCTGACGAATGACCCATCACCCCAAGTGTGACTTTGAGGAGAAAAAAAAAAAAAATCAAACACAGAATTTCTGACGATCTAAGCAGCTGACGCAGCCAGTGCAGAGAGGGAATATGAGAAAGCGGAGTGGGTCCTCGACCGAGGTACCCGGAGGCGCAGGTGTTATTACAACAGTAATAGCAGTCATTCCAGATTTGCATAACTTTCCAGAATTTCAAACACTTTCTCAGGGCTCTGCACTAATGTGTAGGCATATTGACTAAAGCTCGCATAACCTCTCCTGGTGGCTCAGCAGGCAGAGAACATGACTCGCCTGGGATTCATCAGAAACAATTCAGATGACCCAGGAAAGAAAGAAGAGCAAGGAAAAGAATGAGGAGACATTCCCTGAGCCCTCCCTAAAAATCTCTCTGCATGTGACCTCCAGGCTCCTTACTCTGCTGCTCCCCCTGCTGGGCAGGAGGGGCACTGGCCTCCCTCCCTCCTGGGTCCCGCTCTGCCTGTTAGCCTCCCCATCCTGCTCCCTTCCTCCAGGCTCAGAGTTCGAATGTCCTGAGAGTTTCCTGGCCTGACCAGCCTCCCCTCCCGCCCTGCTGCAGGACCTTCCTGGCTCTTATGGCCCCTTACTTGCCTCTTGTCTTTCTTCCCACTCAAAGCACACATTTCCCTGTTTTGCTCACTAAAATGAGCCCGGCATACAGCAGGCACTCAATACAGGTTTCTCGGAGGAATGCATTCCAGGGGCCTTATATATACGACCCGTGAGAGAAGTCTTTCCAGTTTCTTTCACTAGTTCCGGTGAAGAGAGGGGGCGGAGAGGTTAACTAACATTCCCACGACCTCCCAGAAAGGAGATGGCAGAGCCTGAGCCCCAACCAGGTCTGAGGGGCCCAAAGCCCCATCCCTCCTTCTGCTGCAGGGCAGGACCGGGAAGCCAGCCACATGTTGGCCCTGGAACAGTGGGAATGAGGCACCTGGGAACATCTTCTGAGAAGAGTGAGGGTTAGAAATAGAGCAAGGGTTAGAAATATATTTTAATATATTCTCGGGTCACCTGATTTCCCCTCAGTTATTTACTTTCATAATTGATGAAGAGAGAACTTTTAGAAGGCTATGTGAAAACGCTACCCGTTCACTCATTTGACAAGACAGCTATTAAGCCTCTACCCACTCTAACCACATCTGGAAAACATGTGGTCCATGCCAGCCAGCAGCTACGGGAAGCAGCTGACCACGGACCCAGGACGTGCTGGGCCCAAGCTCGCGTGCATTTTAATATTAAAGTGATGTTTTCTTTCCTCCCCAAACGGCGGGACATGTGCATGCGGCTGGGAATGTGGAAACCCTCCGATGGACTCCAGGCTAAGCGCTCCCTTCTCCTGTCCTATGGGCAGTGAACGGGAGGGAATTGCCCGGCACAGGATGCTGGCGCTCTCCCACGAGCCTTCTCCCCACCTGCCTGGGCCTCTGTAACCACCTCAGACCTCTACCATTTCCAGGCCTGCCCGATACATCTTCCATTATGATTTTTAAGAATTAAAGAATAATTTCTTGCTAATTATCAAGAGAAAAATTGTGATTCCTGGTCACTGGCTGGATTTCGCCGAGACAGGACATTTAGTTGGAAATGGGGGATGCAAAACCAAAACTCTAGACAGATTACAGACATCAACTGTAAGGATGCAATGTGTATGTATATAAGCTGACAACCTGAAGATAAAACAGAATATAAGTGATAATAACTTAGCTATTTCCCCCTTTCTATTAAATTGCCTTTATTACTAAAAAATGGGAAGTCATAATTGAGGCAATTTTATTGTTCATGGTTGTATATATAGACCCTTTCACATAATGGTGGGCTTTTTGAGTAATTTAAATAAACAATAGCAAATGAAAAAGACTGGACCTATTTTACATGCTTTGTTTCACTTCCAACACTACCTTTTCATGCAAAGAACATCCCCTGCCATCTCTGTAATTCAGAAAACTAGGTTTTCACAGCAACCACTATTATCTCTCAAAACATTAGGAGATAACTAAGAGAAGACCTGATTTGGTTTGGGAGAACAGATTAAAAAAAAAGTCCTGGTGGAGCCCTGGATGGTTTGGCTCAGTGGTTTGAGCATCAGCCCGAGGACTAAAGGTCTCAAGCTCGATTCCTGGTCAAGGGCATGTACCTTGGTTTCAGGTTCATCCTGGGACCCTGTCAGGGGACATGCGAGAGGCAACCAATCCACGTGTCTCTCTCACATCCATGTTTCCCTCTCTGTCTCTCCCCCTCCCTTCCACTCTCTCTAAAGTATAATGGGAAATATATCCTCAGGTGAAGATTAACAAACAAGAAAAGTCCCGGTGGCGTGACAGAACACAGCAGGGCAGACGCCACAGGACAAGGTCATATCCCAAACTATCTGACCCGACTCCACACATGAACGTGCCTGGGGAACATTCTGGCGCCGTGACAGCACGTGTTTGCCAGTTTCTCGTCCACGCGGCCAGCGTGTGAGCGCAGACACACTTACCGTGGCGTGGGAGATGGTCAGCATCCCGTTCTTGACCGCGCACTTCCTCCTCTGCCACACTTTGCGGATCCTGCAGAGCCAGGCGGACAAGCAGGTTCAGGGTCTGTTCACTTGGGGACAGGCGGTCGCCACGCAGCGTCACGCACAGCCATCATCACAACACAGAACCCCCACGTGGGAGGTGGAAAGGCCCGCAGGTAACCCACCCCGATGCTCAGGACGTGAGCTCAGGCACACAGGCCCACGGAGGGGTCTGTACGTACCCGTCGCTTTTCTTCAGCAGGTACCCCTTCTTCTCGCTGCCGTACTCCTTGTTGCCCTGGAGCTGGTGCATGCTGTACCCCCCCTGGCGGCTCTGGGAATCCTAGGAGAGACGGGCCACAGGTGAGTTGCACACCGGAGAGCCTCTCCCGTCCTTGAGCCTCGGCCCACGGGCAGCCAGGTCCCGGCCTTTATTCTAGAGCAGGAAGCCAGGCAGTCAAGGCACGTTCAAGGCGGAGCTGGGGCCTGAGGTCCGGGCTTCCGAGCGCCAGTTCAGATCCCAGCTCGGCTTCAAACATGCGGGGACTAGTCTATGATGACACCCGTTCACACTGGCAACCAGACAGGCACTCGAGGGACTGCAAAACCAAGCCCATGCACCCGGAAGGCAAGCGCTCCTGCCTGGGTGTGCCTCTCGTCCCCGCACACACTGCGGGGGGTGGGACAAGAAGGGCACCTTCTGAGGGAGGGAGGAAGAACTGCTATATAGTTCTTACTCTGTAACTCACTAGTCCTCTGCAAAATATATCTACAACCACGCTTTTAATAAAAAATTAATCTATTGCAGTGACAAGGGTACTGTGTAATGAAAGGGGTGACAAGGGTCAAGAGCAACACGGATGCCACTGAGCTTGACTTAATGTCAGGGCGCCACTGAGCTTCGAGGGGTTTCTGTAAAGACGGCACCGTCCTTACTGGGGAAACGCAGAGGGTGATCTAACGGGGAACTAACTGGACTACGAGAAACGGGGCTGCAAACACAGACACAGGACGACACGTTCTCACCCACAGCGGGGACTTACTCTCCTAGACTTCGATCAGGAAGGGCAAAAGCGACAGAGAGAAAAAAAGGCAGAACATTTGAAAATAGAGTTAATTTCATTGTCAGTCTTATCACTCACAATTTAAGCACTTTTTATAACATAGAGAAAACATCGTTATAAAGGTGACACTGGAACAAACTCATATTCAGGCATCTCCAGGATCACGATAAACTTTGGCACAATAAAATATCTGTGTTAATTCAATTTTAGTTCAGGCCAGCTGAGGGAGAGCAGAGAAAAGGCCAAGTGGAGAAGGAAGAGGAACACGCTCCCAAGATAACACAGCAGACAAACCTCTACGTGTGTGCACAGAGACCAGCACCCAGGGGGGCCCGGCGGGAGTGACTTAGAAAATCTCAACAGAGCCACAGCTCGGCTTGGCTGGAGCGCTGTCTGGAGCCCCAAGGGGTCACGGGCTTGATTCCCAGTCGGGGTACACACCCCGGTTTCAGAGTTCATCTCCAAGCGGGGTGCGTATGGAAGGCAACACAATAGATGTTTCTCCCCCCCTCTCTAGGATCAATCAAAAACATATCCTTGGATAATGATAAAAAAATAAAAATAAAAAAAAGCCCCAACAAATTTCAGAAGGGTTCTTTTCCTTCTGCTTTTCCGAGTGGAGAGAACTTACTCTATCCAGTCCCTAAGCGGCCTGGAGGAGGAATGGAGAAGAGGCGGGAAGCTCCGTGAGCCTGGGGGGTACTGATGGCTGGTGCACAGCAGGCCGGAGGGGGGGAGCCGCTTTCTGGCCTCAGGCAGGACAACACTCCTTTAAGGCTGTTGTACATGTGATGAGTTCAGTGCTCAGAAACGTGCCCCAAACCCTGACAGCCGGGCCCCGTGCAGGTCCAGAGGACACTGACGGGGACACAGCCGGTCTCTGAGGTGGGGATCACCCCGTACTCACTGTGCTCTCCCGAGCGGAGGCCACCAGGCTGACTGTGCCTTTCTAGGCAGCTGAGTCTGCTAAACTGGTTGCAAACTCTAGTCATTCTCTTAACCCGAGTCACTTCTTTGTCTTTAACCGGCCCGATCCCCTGCAGCTGAGCCTGCCCAGGGCCCAGAGCCCGGGACTCCACGGGACTTGGCTGGCAATGGCCTCCTTGACAGGCGTGCCCAAGCCTCTGGCTGGAGATCTGACCTAGGGATAGCAGAGAGCAGCCTGCCTCTACAGTGCCCCTAGTGACAGTGCCGGGAACTACAGTAGGGACACAGGACGGAGAAGGATAGGGCTGGAGAGAGCTGTACAAAACCTGAGGCCAGATCCTGAAAACCACGGAACTGTCTGCCTGACCCCAATGAAACTGCGTCAAAGTCGCTCAGCTTTGGGCGTGGGCTCGGGGATCTTCGCCATCCCCCTACCTCCAGAACCTGAAACCCAAAATCGAAGCTTTCCTTGGATTCCAACCCTTATTAAAAGTTGGCACCCTTTCACCAAACTGCACTTCTCTGCATCTGCCCACATAATTCCTGCTCTGTCGGGATTTAAAATTATGATTTTTTTCATTTGCATTTAAAAATTATGCCTCTCCAGCATCAGTCCATTTGCTAACCTTTAAAATAAGTCCTATGTTTAAAAATGAAAGAGCTTACATATTTAATAAGAATTTAGATGTCGATAATTTAGAAAAACTATTACATCCTGTATATGTACCATCAAGACAGCCCTTACATAGAATTATTACAAGCCTAAATGCACACTACATTGTGGATAACATATCGCATGGGCCTGGCTTCACATTAGACAGAGATGCTTTTACAGGTAAAGGAAGTAGCTGAACTCTAGGCTTTGACGTCAGAACATGATTCCATGAACCCGAACAGGGCAGAAGCAATCTATTCCAGAAGTCTGGCATGAAACAATCCCAAATTAACGGCTAATGAGTTTTTTTTTTTTTTTTTTTTTACAACTTAAGAAAGTCATACACTCGATGCTTTCTGCACTTTGAGAAATAAAGGCCATTCAGCTTGCACCGGATACATGAAAAGAGGGCTTTCTTTTCTGAGAAAGAAAACCTCGGAGAATGTTAACACCAAATAAAAACAAAGAGAACAAAATTGAGGGGATGAAACAGGTTCCGAATCCTTTGCCAGCATCATAAAAATCAGCACGTATTCAGGGAAGAAAATGCAAATGAAAAAAAAAAAATCGTTCAGGCAAAACGAAACAAAACTAAAAGCAGTGAATTTAAAACAAAACCTTGGGGGAAATTCCATGATGTGAGCCAAGACATGTACAAAACACGGTGTCACTTTTTAGTTCAGTTTCCCACTCTCTATTAGCAGCACAGATTACCTGACTTTATTAGAAAACCTTTGAATGCATTATTAAGGAGAAAAACCTCCAGTCTTTTTAAACTGCAGGCAAGCACACACGCATTGCCTTAATGGGGTCCTAAGAGTGTCTGGCACCCAGTCTGAGGACAGACCCCTGACCGGGAGCTTCCAATCTCCGTTGTATGAATGGAGCGGGCACAGGCATCCTTCCGTCTCCTGGTACTAAATACTTACCGAGCAGCTCTGGTGCCCGGCGGTGTGCCAGGCTGTGCCAGGCGCTGCGAGGACGGAGACGAGCCAACCCCAGAATCTGTCAGACACGAGCAAACCCCAGGACGGTATGCTATCAAGGGGGGCTCATACAAAGTGGGAGGGGAGGGGGGGCATCATCTTCAAGAAAACATTTTCATCCCAAAGAATACGCATGTAGCAAGCAGTTCAGGGAGGCTGCGCTGCTATCAAAGCTTAAGATGCCTAATTCCACAGGACATCTGCCACAAGTCATTAGAGAATTTTATTTTCACGAGAGAAAAAATAAAAAAAATGAGTCTACCCCAAATGTGGGAGTCCCATTAACAACGCAAGTTCCTGAGGCTTCCTGTCACTGAGTGGAGCTCCAGCCTGGGGGTGGGGCGGGCTGTTCAGTGATTTTTTGGGCCTTAATTTCTCGGGTTAGTCTCTAGATGACTTTACACCTTCTGGAACTGGAGAACCGGGGTGAGAAATCTCTAGCTGAAAAGCTCCTTTCATGTGTAACGGAAAGCATTAAAAATCACTACCTTCTTAACACAGCTTGCACTGAGAGATGATAACCAGCCTGAGAATGGACTAGGCATGCTGTGAAAGTTCAATTTTACTTGTAAAATACTCTGGACACGGTGCTAATGGAAACTCATCACTGATTGATTTGGCAAGAAGTTAAAATCAATCAGGCCGTGTGCATTTCTGCATGTACACACGCCTTTGGTTTGTGTGCGACTTTTCCTTTAGTCACTAGCATGAGCAGAATACCCTTGTCTCTATACACCACAGAGAGCCTACAATGGCTGTTTTTCTTTTTCAAGAAAGCGTCCATATGTAGGAAATAATCCTGAGTGGCAAAACAGGTAGGAAGTGGTTAAGTACGTATCGGTCAGTACAAAACCTCGAAAATTTCTCTAGACCAGTGGTGGGCAAACTCAGTCAACAGAGCCAAATATCAACAGTACGACGATTGAAATTTCTTTGGAGAACCACATTTTTTAAAGTTAAACTTTTTCTAACGCCACTTCTTCAACATAGACTCGCCCAGGCCGTGGTATTTTGTGGAAGAGCCACACTCAAGGGGCCAAAGAGCCACATGTGGCTCTCGAGCCGCAGTTTGCAGACCACGGGTCTAGACAGAGACCTACCCCTATACTCCGCAATCTGGATCTTCCTATTGCTCTGTGCTGAGTGATTGCACCCTCAGGTGCAGGTGCTGGCCGAGGCTCTGCATGACGTGGGCACACAGCACACACGTCACCCCTGCACTGTCGCCTGTCCACAGGTGAGCAGGGGCCCAGCGTTAAAGGGCTATAGCCTCCTCTCACTTCACAACACCCAACGAGCGTGCAAACTGGAGGCAGCAGCAGCGAGGGCTCCAGGCCCAGCGCAGAAGCACCTGCAGGTCGAGTGCGTGGGACCAGGGAGCTGGGCAGGCTCCCTACGCTCCAGGGGGCTCACTCTGTTTTGTTGGACTCATGCACTCCTCCCAGACATGTTAGGAGATGACAAATAGCTGGCCACTGGGAGATAATATAAGAATATTAAAAATGTTATATTTTATGATGATTAAATATTGATTGCATTTGGAGATCACACTTAGATTCAATGCGTAAGAATTTCACGATGCACACAGGCACGTCGCCACCTTCTCCGTGTGACAACGGGGCCTATTTAACTTAGTCTTAGCTCGAAGCCTGTCCCTCTGGTGTGCACCCCGAGCCTTCTGCCCGGAAACCGCATCTCACGCCTCCACCCTCCACATCCATCTCTGCATTTCCTCGCGCTCGGCATCTCCCCTCCAGCACCCACACCGCTTTAGGCACAACTCCTCCCTCACACGGCTGACGCTCTCCATTTCCTACCAGAGGATGACCTCAATGGTCAGGACTGACTGCCCAGCACAGCTGCTGGCCCACTGTAGGTGCTCATTAAACGTTTGCACAACAAATGAGTAAGTACGATGTATGATTAAGGGTCTGAGCAGTCATCTAACAGCTACCATGCTCTGTATACTCCACCCCAGCATCTAAAGACTCTCACCCCGTTTTCCTAACTGGGGGGCAAAACTTCTACAGGGTTGTGCCTCAGACCATTTCTCTATCCCCCCACCCCACCTGCGGCTGCCTGGAAAGAGACACAGGGGTGTGTGCTGCCCTGCCCCTCTCCCTCCGCAGTCTGAGCAGACTCTCCCGAAACACACATCGGCAAAGCCAGGCCAGAAAGGCTAGCCACAGAGCTGCAGGCCGGGGCTCAGGACACCTTTCCATAAGGAGAGGAGGGAAACAAAACATGGTTCTAGCCTGGGCGGTGCAGCAGGTGTACGAGGGTCTGGGGTCTCCCCCGTCCCACCCCGCCCTGGCAGGAAGCTGTCAGCACCCCAGTTCTGCAGGTTGGGAGACATCCATACCCCCCAGAGCCCCGCCTGCCCGGCCAGTCCTGCTGGAGACACCGAGCACCTACTTCTTTCTGATCGAGCTGGAGAGAGGACTTTATTAAGTCCCGGAGGGCGGTTAGCTGTTTCTTTTCTTCATCCTGGGTCTGTTTTATCTACAAGAGAAAAAATTTACTTCTGTCACTTACCTTTTATGCCTTTATGAGCAGCATTTAATTCACCCCGATATACCACACATCGAACTACTTAATGATATAGCTGATTGCCTTACTCAGATCCTTCACGTGGTCTCATTTTTTATGAGATGCACAATTTTCTAATCCTGTGAAGGTTCCAGTGGGTTTTGAGATGAGTGAATAATGCAACATGCTTTCTGATTAAATAACGACTCTAGGCTAGATAATTAAAGCTCCGCTTTAAACAAAGCTAAGAAATAACGTGGAGTCATTTGCTCCCGGTTTTTCCAAAGGTGGTAGTGATACCACGCTGACCTTGAAGGCCCAGAAGAGAACCCTGGAAACCAAGGACCAAACCCAACGAGCCCACGTGAGGGCACAGAGCCCTGCCCGAGGGCAGAGGCCGGCTGCTTTTTCAACACGCGGAACCTGATCACAACCAGAGCCACGCTCACTGAGAGAAAAGCAGGACAAGCTACACACTCTCTGAAGTGAGACAAAGACACACGGCATTATCTGTAACTCTAAAAACCGTATTTGAACATACGTAGTTGCACTCATAAAACATATATGTGATTTTTAATATGATCCATTGCCAAGCGATTTGTGGTGATAAAGGTTGACATTTATACATATGCATTTAGTTTTTTTCCTCAAAGAAGTTTTCCTTTTGCTACTATAAAAGCAAAACCTACTTGTGTGAAAAATATAGAGGAAATATAAAGCAAGCAAGCCCCCAAAATTCATAAACTTACTCAGAGACAGTCCATTTTTATCCTTTCACAATAAAATCATTCTTTTTGCGAATGCTGACTGAAGGGCACCTGTGATATTACATAAACCCTGCACAGAGAGTCAGCTAGAAGCAACCATTAGACTCTCCTCCCTGCTCCTCCCATGCTCCCCAAACACTCTCTGGAACATTCCATCACTGATGTCTGAGTAAAACTGAAAGTTTATCTGTCTTTATTGGACACATCACTTAATCGGTCTTCTTGTCTTTAACACTCTTCCAGTACAGGTTTCACATTTACTGATACTTGTCTGCAGAGCGAGGTAAATGCATTATGTATTTCATAAAGAACTCACGTTATATAAGTCAGCAGCCAGTTTCTCAATGTATTGTTTCAACTTGTCAGCCGTCTTCAAGCCATCTTGAAAGAAACTACAACGGAAAACATCAGAGTCCAAACATGACATGAACCATAATTACTGGAAAAATCCAGAAAGACATATCTACTCTCTACCAGGTATCTACACAAAACGTGTATAAATCGGGTTCCAGTGTTTTGTAAAAGATGCGCCAACCAACACGCATGGGCACTACGGACAGGTGCCAGCAGGCATCACGCAGACAATGCAACCGCAGTCGCTGTCCACGCAGTGCCTCTGCTGTCACTCCACACAGAGCCGCTCCCCTGGTTGTGCCTGATCTGAGCTCGAGAGAGAGAGGAGGACACACTACCTAGCGGGGTACCGCGGACCCTACCCGGACACTCCGAGGAGAGATGGATGGGACTAGAAACAGAGGCCGGAGAAGTCAGTTCCCAAAGGTCCCGAGTCCTGACACACACATGAGGCGCACGATCTGGGGTCAGGGCACCGATGACCAGGAAGGCTTTATCCTACCATGGACACAGGAGGTGCCTTATTTGAGGGGAGCAACCTGGCGTGGCTGAGCACTGACCACACGCCTAGTACACTTGGCACTTCACATAAACTGTTTTTTGTGTTTTTTTTTTTGAATTTTAATCCTATCTAATAAAAGAGTAATGTGCAAATTGACCATCACTCCAACATACAAGATGAATGCCCCCATGTGGTCAAAGATGGCTGCCCCCATGTGGACACAAGATGGCTGCCACAAGATGGCCAGCAGAGGAGGGCAGTTGGGAGGGACCAGGCTTACAGGGGAGGGCAGTTCGGGGCAATCAAGCCTGCAGGGGAGGGCAGTTAGGGCCTCTAATGTATATATGTATGTGTGTGTGTGTGTGTGTGTGTGTGTGTGTACACACACACACATACATATATATATACACACACACATATTTCTTTATTGATTTCAGAGAGGGGGGGAGAGAAAGAGAGAAACATCAATGATGAGAGAGAATCATTGATTGATTGCCTCCTGCACACCCCACCCTGGGGGTGGAGCCCACAACCCGGGCATGTGCCCTTGGCCAGAATCGAACATGGGAAACAGACACATTTTCACATAAAAATTACCAGAAAGCCCACAAAAGTAAACCAGGAAAGAAAACAAGGAATGAAAAAGCAAATGTGGTGTCACAGAGCCTCCGTCTTAAAAAGGGGGCCTGGCCACATGAACAAACTAAAATGGGGACCATGGGCGCCTCTCACAATATATCACAACCCAGGCACAAGGGCAGTGTCCCTGCTGCCCAAATGACAGGCCTCACCAGGAAAATAACACAGCCCCAAGCAGGAGAAAGGGGCACAAGGGCGCTGCCACAGGTGAGACGCCGAGGGAGGAGGGAGGGAAGCGGGGCGCCGGGAAGGCCTCCAGGGACAGAGACAGTGTCTGCAGGAGGGGCTGAAAGGCCGTCACGGCAACGCCAGCTTTCTAGGTAGCAGCGATTTCAGGGAGCCACGCAGTTGCACTAATGTGAGTGGCTGATGTGAGAAAACACTGACTATGGCCAATTCCGCTTCACAGGAGGCAGCTGTGGAAGGCCTTTATCTCCCTGCGCAGTGACGGAATGAAGACCAGACAGAAAGAAGCAAGAAACCACAGTGCAGCCGAAACCGGTTTGGTTCAGTGGATAGAGCATCGGTCTGCGGACTGAAAGGTCCCAGGTTCGATTCTGGTCAAGGGCATGTACACTGGTTGCGGGCACATCCCCGATGGGGGGTGTGCAGGAGGCAGCTGATCGATGTCTCTTTCTCATAGATGTTTCTAGCTCTCTCTCCTTCTACCTTCCTCTCTGTAAAAAATCAATAAAATATATATTTAAAAAAAGAAAAAGAAAAAAAAGAAGCCGCAGTGCAGGCCCTCCCTCGGGATCTGTGTCACCATGGCCACTGTGTCACCATGCCACTTACTTGCACTGGGCGTGGTAGTACTTGATGAGATTCTGCAGCAGGTCCACGCCCTTTTTGGTCTTGATCTCGTTGACTTTGATGAGATACTGAGGGAGTAAAACAGAAGTGGATGCTGTCACTGCCCACGGGGCTCTCGGGCAGGGTTTCGGGGGGGGGGGGGGCAGCCCCCACGGTGAGTCTGCGCCAGGTACTGGCCTCGGCGGTCCTCAGGGTGTGTGAGCTAACTTAGGGGATGCCCATCAGCACAGGCACTAGTGGACAGTGGGTAGCACGTTAGCACCTTATAAACGCCCGTGATTAGTTTACTAGACAATCACAGATCCACACAGCAAAGCATCCTGGAATAGCGGACTTAGTTCCTCTGGCGCAGTGGCTCTCAAACTTAGAGTTCAGGTCGAGATCTGCAAGATGGAGAATTTTTGCTGAAAACAAGTGGAACAGCGTTCTCTCGAAGGGATACGCTGTGAGGCATTAAAACTTTGAGACCAAGGAGGCGAGGTAGAATTTTTGCTACTAAAAATGAAAGGAGGAAAAGAACGCGTTAGTAACTTTAGGCACCAAACACCACTAGGTCTGATTTTCACAACTGGCGGAGGTTTTCTGCTGGCACTGTCTGCCTCTTGTCCACGGGTTTCATTGTGTGGGGATGTTCATGAGCAGACAAGTTCAAGAAGGGGCCAAAGGTTTATTGGGATGGGGGAAAAATTAAGGAAGAAAACCTCAAAATTGAGAAAACTCTATCCATTTTCATAGTTTCCCAAAAGCACAAAAGGAATCCCAGTGCTCAGCGTCAATGTCAGAAGGGGTAGCTCTCTCGGTCAAGGATGCCGGTGTTCAGGGGAACACAGTTTGAGAACCACTGCTGTAAGTTGAAGGAGCATGCTTTTGTTGCATTTTTTTTTTTTTTTCATGACCTCAGAGGCTTTCTCAAATGACCGCTTCATTTAAACTTTCTTTCATACTAGACACAGGGTTAAAAACAAACCAACATGCTCTACACCTGTACCAGTAAAACCGGAGAGTCACCCCATGTTACCAAAACTTGCCTTTCCACACTCATTCACAGGCAACAGGAAGTTCTCACCCAAGAATCCTGCTTTGGCTTAGAGCCCCACAGGCTCCAGGCTCAAAACAGAAGGCAACAGGGACAGGGCGATCCCAAAGGCTTGGAGAGAAACGAGATTGGAGTCCTTCAGTAACTGTCCCGCCTCTCCTGACCAGACCCAGCCGCGCTCTGGCTCGGAGGCCGCTGCCCGCAGGAGGCCCGGCTAGCCAAACCCCAGGCGAGGGCGTGGCCGGATCCCCACGCACCTCGCACATCTGCAGCTGGAAGAGGCGCCGCTCCTTCTCCATTTCCTCCGCGATCTCCGCCCCCGTGATCTCCGTGCGGATCATCCCGTGCTGCTTCGCATGCTCTCTCTTCTCCTTCTCAATTTTCGTGCTGGAAGGGAAGCAGATGCCACCATTAACACACACACACAGGCATGCACGCACGCGGACGCGCACACAGCTTCCTTTTGGTGAGAACTACCCAGATCTGTAGGACTTCAGAGGACAAAGCACATCTTGTTTTGCTGTTCCCGTGTCCCACAGAGGAGCTGGATCCCGCGACAGGTGTAGAGCAAGTGTTTTTCTCCCGTTTTGTGAACTCACACCCCCTCCGTAAGGACTCAGTTCTGGGTGGGCCAGGTGTACCGCCACTGCCTGGGGGCAGGGCAGTGCTGGGTCCACGCGTGAGCGTTCACGCCCTGCCCTCAGAGGACGATGAGGTGGCCCACAGCCCTCATCTACGTCAGCCGGCCACGGTCGGAGCCTCTTTCTTCCCAGCTGCATCTGCAACTGTCAGTCACAAAAGTTTTCCTAAGACAGCACGTCTCCGACGATGCAGCTGTTACGTCAGCAACCACGAGAGTAGTGGTTGCGGAGAAAAATATTGAATCCCCAATGTTTCTTTCGCTTGTCATTTTGCAGTTACTGCCGCCTTCGGAAATGCTTTTATTCTCTCATGTTTACAGTTATCGAGTTGTCAGCCAACGGTTTTATTAAGTGCTTTCAAATCTATCTCTCCTCCCGTCCCCCGTACAGCCTGGAGTCAGGCGACTTGGGATCATAATAATAAAGGCACGTGCAATGCGCCGCGCAGTCACCTCCCGACCCCTCACAGGAACCGCCAGGCAGGCCCATCTTTTAATTAGTTATTTATTTATTTTAATTTATTTTATTGATTTTTTTTTTTTACAGAGAGGAAGAGAGAGGGAATCATCGACCAGCTGCCCCTTGCATACCCCCTACTGGGGATGTGCCCGAAACCAAGGTACATACCCTTGACCGGAATCAAACCTGGGACCTTTGGGTCCGCAGGCCGACGCTCTATCCACTGAGCCAAACCGGTTTCGGCCAGGCCCGTCTTTTAGCCCTTACAAGCCTGCACTACACTATATTTTGTCCTTGTAAGTTAAAGGCTCTGTCTTTTTCCCAATCAATCTTCTTCATAGGAAAATCATGACGACATAAAAAACAAAAAAAACACTTACAACTTTGTCTCATAATCTTTCCAAGCTTTGTCGAATGGCTTCTTGAGATCCTTAGAAAAAAGAGAATGAAACGGAAATTAAATGTGCTGTTGTTAAAAGGTGAGTGAATAATTCTGAAATAACATCCTAGCAAAACCACCCTCCTCTTTGGGATGCCGGATACTTTATACAGAGCCACCTGCACGCACATCACACTATGACTCCAGAGAGGAGGCCTGAGGTCGGCAGGGCGAGCATCCTGGTCACGCCTCGGTGATGGGGGACTCAGGGAGCCTGCGGGGTCCAGCAGTGGCGGATGCCCTGCCCACCCACCAAGGCCCTCACTCTGCCTCCAAGTGTCTGGTCTTGTTCCCCGGTCAACAACATCCTGTGAAGTGGCATTCCCTCTCGTGATCCTTTCCCAACTATCTTTTTTTATGCTGAGAATGTTCCAGTGCCTTTCAAACACAAGTACCCTATGATCTTAACAGAGAAAAACCCCGATCCTTCCAAGTTACAGCGAAGATCAGGTTCCGGACACTCACTCCTTTGACTCCCTTGAGGTCTCCTTTCAGCAGGGAGTCCAAGGTGAAGATCACGTTGTGGCTCAGCCCCTGGAGCTGGAGACAAAGCAAAGGTGGAGACAAAGCCGTCAGAGAGAGAGTGCCCAGGGCGGGAGGCCGGCTACTGCTGCCCTCCCCATGCACCGGCGCCAGGCGGCACCGAGGCATCTGCCGGAGGACACCTGCAGGTCACCCCATGGCACCCACTGAAGGGAGGACACCTGCAGGTCACCCCATGGCACCCACTGAAGGGAGGACACCTGCAGGTCACCCCATGGCACCCACTGGAGGGAGGACACCTGCAGGTCACCCCATGGCACCCACTGAAGGGAGGACACCTGCAGGTCACCCCATGGCACCCACTGAAGGGAGGACACCTGCAGGTCACCCCGTGGCACATGCCAGAGGGAGGACACCTGCAGGTCAGGCAGCCTCACTGGCCCTCCGAAAGCTCCTGAGCGGATGCTGCAGTGCGCTCACACTTGCCCCAACGATGCCTCGGATCATAGCTACAACTTCCCTGGTTCCCCCTCCTGAAATGGCAGATCTTACTTTTTAATAAATGTATACTTTTACTGATTTCAGAGAGGAAAGGAGAGGGAGAGAGAAATAGAAATAGCAATGATGGAGAGAATTGCTGACTGGAGCCCATAATCCAGGCCTGTGCCCTGACTAGAATCAAATGGTAACCTAGTTTATAGATTGATGCTTAACCATTGAGCCATGATGGCTGGGCAGACAGATCTCACTTTGACTTTTTTCCCCCCAATGCCTTGGCCAGAGCAAGGAGATGATGATAAAACTGGCGTTCACCTCCTTGTTATATTCTTTTTAAAAACTTTCCTTTTTATACCCCTTTACGGCATTTACCACGATCTAAAATTATCCAGTTAGGTAGTTTATGTGTGTGTACGGCCTCCCTGACCAGAACGAAAGGTCAATGAGAGCAGATCCATGACTTTCCTGCCCACAACTGTCCCGTCAGCGCCCAGATATCGTGAAGAGAACAAGGCATTCAGAAGGCGCCGTCTACAGCTAGAGTGCAACTTTCTTCTGAGCCAGCGCCTGGGTCTCTCTGATTTAGGATGGTGTCGATTCTACAGAGGAGAAGGGTGAAACTTGTCCATCCAAGGGAGGGATGGGCAGGTGAAGGGTCAGCAACACCAGGCCTGAGCTGGCTGCAGAGTACACTCCCTTAAAGAACTCCTCAGACAGTACGCCCTCACTAACAGCATCGGTAAGTTCTGCACCTTTAAGCGAAACGAGGCAACAAACCCATCAACAGGCTAACCGATATGCTAATAAACAAGGGATGGGTTCCCACAGCATCTCGTCCCCATTAAAACAAAACACTGATGTTCCAGGACCTGTTAAACCATGGAGAAACCCGTGTCAGTGGCACGGGACCAAGACATCACCCACCACTTACCAGGTACCTACTCTTGGACACCCTCTGGCCCAGGGGCTGGGGAGGCAAAGACAGACAGAACACCACTGCCGCCTTCACAGAGCTCACACCCCAGAGACGGGCAGGCGCAGTGAGAATGCAGTCAGCAAGCCCTCTTCCGCCCTAACACCGCGTGCTGCACCACAGGAGGGGGGACGGGGGTGTGAGAGGGGCCAGCACCGTCACTCTCGGGCTCTGTGTACGCCCCTCCTGAGGTCACCTCTATGGAGAGGAACTCCAAGCCATGAAGAGGAGTGAGTAGTTCAGATGGGAAGTGCTGGCTTACTCCCTGCCACTAGGGGGTGCTGTGCACACGCCCGTCTGCAAAGGATTTGCAGAAAAAGAGAACAAGGTACATTATGCTCCAGTTATCTCTGAAAGGACCCGGCACGCTGCTGAGGCCAAGTCCCCCCGGACACTGGGTGGGCAAGGGGAGAGGGGCTTGTAACTGTTCTTTTCTGCGTTTTTGTAAAGTTTGGTAAGATGCACTATATTGTTAATTCACAAAAAGTAAAAATTCTAAAACAAAAAATGAAAAGACAGTGATTATAAACCACTTATTTTAAAAAATATATTTTTATTGATTTCAGAAAGAAAGGGAGAGAGGAAAAAAAACATCAATGATGAGAAAATCATGGATTGACTGCCTTCTGCCACCCCCACACTGGGGATAGAGTCCTCAACCAGGGCATGTGCTCTGACCGGGAACGGATCCATGTCAACACTCAACCACTTTCTAATGCCAGGTCACCAATGCCTCAAATCCTTTGTGAGATGAAGCAGAAAAACAACACCCAGAATGTTATCTGAGTGCTGCGTGAGAAAGTAACAACAGAAGAATTATGAAATCCCGTGGTTAGGACTGAACGCGGGGGTTTGAAGGAAGACTCCCTTGCAAGCCAGGGCCCGACCACACAGCAAACACAGGACACAGGTCCCCACCTCGCAGTGGCGTCACGGCGGCCGGCTCGGGCAGAGCGGTGGCTGCAGACGCCCCTGTGGGAAGCCTCAGGGGCTGAGAATATCCTGTGGTTACACACACACACACACACACACACACACACACACACGCCCGTGGGGCTGATAAGAAAAAACCAGCAGGCTAACCAGTATGTATTACAGATCCAGTGTCCCCAGTGGCAAGGGCACAGCTCAAAACTCAGACTCTTCCCCACCTGCTCCCAGGAAACGGAGGCTCATTGGTAAAAGCTGGCCAAGAAGCTGCGTTAGGGAAAGGGAATCAGAACCACCTGTCATTACAGAGACACAGCGGAAGGCAGGAAAAGAGGCCCCTCTCTCTCGAGGAGGAGATGTTCAGGAGTCACTCACTGGGAGACCAAACCAGTGTCCCCGGAGATTCCACCCACAGGGACCTGTTTTCTCCCACACCCTAAGGCACTGCTCGGGATAGAGAGGAACCCCGTGACTTCGCCGCGGGGGGGATTCTGTGATTTTCCTGTTGTTGTGGTTTTTTTTTTTGTGTGTGTGTGTGATTTTAAAATATATTTTCTAGTTCCCTCAGGAACACTTTTCAAGGCCTGAGCAGGACCTGCAAACTGTGGTCTCCACAGGAGACTGCTGAGCAGCCAGCAGAATATGGTGACGACATGAGGGAAGGACTTCCGGTTGCCCCTCCACTGTCTTCGACGCTTTTTACTTGCAACCTGGTTGGCATGGCTCGGGGGTGAGCCAGAAGCTCACGGTTCGATTCCCGGTCAGGACACAGGTCCGAGTGGCAGGCTCCAGCCCCAGTGGGTGCGTGCAGGAGGCAGCCAACTGATGATTCTCTAATCGTGGATGTTTCCAGCCTTCTCTCCCTCTCCCAGCCTCTCTGAAATCAATACAAAATATTTTTTAAAAGTCTTCCAAATCCGTCACTTAGCTATTTTCCGTTTGTTTTACAAAAATTCTATTGATTCCACTCCCATTGCCTCAACTATACTCCATGTCCTTCCTTGCCACAGTGATGTTGAATTAACAAGTTCTTTACGGGATTCCACATGACATGAGACTGAAGAGCGTGTTTTAAAAGCACATCCTCCCTGTGTTGCTGAGCCACCAGCGCAGTCAAACCCCTCGGGGAATGACGCCGCGGGGCAGTCAGTGCAGCTGCTTCCTCCTTCCCAGACGGGCCGTTTCTCCTGGGACCACAGCCATCGAGCCCGACCACGAACTCGGCATAAACCAGTTGGGAGGAAGCTGAGGTCTAGCCTTTCACGGTGCAAAAGGGACTTGTGTGAGCAAATAAGCTGTAATCAATATTGGTTTTGATAAAAATAACCATTTATCCCTTACAACTACCACATAGGGTACCAATAGCCCCGAAATCCCAGCTGTTGGTAATGACTTCACAGACAGTGTTCCTCTATGGACACACACACACACACACACACACACACACACCTTCTGTCCTGATCTTTTTTACCTGACCTTACAGCTTCACCACGAATGAAAGGACCTTGCTTACCTAAATACTGACCCAACTCTCCCCTCTAGAAGGTGAAGCTTAAGGGAGGTGTCTCATCGGTTCAGCTCACTAACTGACCAGATCCCACAGCAGGAGCCATGAAGCAGCCGTGGGTCCCTGTCCTGTGCTTTCTGGCCACCATGTGGCCTGTGGTGGGTATCCGAGCTGCCCTAGGAGCCCAGGCAGAGGGACGGTGAGGGGCAGTGCGAGGGCAGCACAGCTTAGCGACGGCACCTCCACGCCACCTCCATGCCACCTCCACGCTACCTCCATGCCGTGCCTTTGTTAGCTTTGTCACCTGCGTTAATTCTGACACTTCCCTCCACTGCCCTCCTCCCCTTCACAGGCAGAGACTGTTTCCTGAAAGTGAGGCGGATGTGGATCCAATTAAAACAACGAGCCAGCTCCCAGCAGGTGACCGGGCCAGCTCCTCAGTAACCATCCTCAAGCACCTGCAGTGGCACCATCTCCCTACATCAGTGCAGCTGCACACAGCGGAAAGCGGGAACACTGGGAAGGGCACCTAGGAGGCTGGGGAAGGAAGTTAGAGGAACACGGGCTTCTCCTCAGCTGGACACAGCCATGGCCTCTGGGTGCTGCAGACCCAGGAAAGGGTACTGCTGGGCACGGGGCTCCCACCCCTTCACCCAGGCCGCCCTGCCCCGGAGGCAGTATGCTCCTAATTGAACGAAGGGCCTCGGGCTGTGATACTTCCCCAAACAGGAAAACACTGTGAAGTACATAAATAAGTGAAAGCTGGGCTATAAAACAGCACCATAGCATACACCCGACGGTGCTAAAAATTCAGGAGTAAAATAAAACACATAAAAAAAAAAAAAAGAGGTATGTGAAAACTGAAAAATGGTTAGAAGACACAGAGATATAGATAAATCTCAACTCCCTAGGAGTGGGGGTTAGTGGAGAATTTTATTTTAGTCCCCTTTTCCCTGTATTTTCTACGTTCCCAAGAGGGCACTGGTATTATTTTTGTATTCAGAAAGTTATTAAGAAGAAATATGACACAGAAACACAAGAGGGCGATATGATCGACCAGCAGCCCATTTCTCACTCAACATATGATCTGATTTAATACAAGACTCGAACCAGAGGGAGTGGATAAAGGGGAAAGTCATTAATTAGGTGATGGATTCGGAGGAACAAAGGTGCAGCTTCTCTCCAGCCCTAGGGGATTCTGAATCTCTGTCCGGAATGACCATCCTTATTAGCGGTTCTCAAAACGTGGCCCTCAGGCCGCCAGCAGCGTCCGCACCCCCTGGACACGTGTTAAGAGCTGAAATCTCAAACCAGTTGGATGCTCGGAGGGCGAGGTGCAACCACCATGTGTAAACGAGGCTTCTAGGCGAGCCGGATGCCAGGTCTCCTGGGCACCACTGCCTGGGGGAGTCCCACAGACCTCACCGGGCTGTGGTCGGAGACAACGATGGCGAGGGGAGAGCAAAGGTGAGCGGCTGCTCCTGAGACCTGGAAAAGGCCCGAGGAAAGGCGGGACCCAACTACTCCATCGTGCCAACGGCTTCGGAAGGACAGGACTGAATTTAAAGGGAAAGCATGGTTCTCTGGAAGCTTTACAGAGAAAAACGGGCGGGTGTAGGAGAACTGGGGGACACGAGACTGCCTTCATGCAGAATGAGGCGTTATGTTCTGATGAATTCAATTGAAGTAAATTCAGGTTACGTTTAGCATCATCTCCCTACGTCAAGAATGAAAAGGAAAGCACTACTTTCCTTTGCATTTTTGCAACATCTGATTTCATTTCAGGATAGCTGTAAGAACAGGGGGAGCGGCGAAGACTTTAAAAGGAAAAAGAGCCTTTCTAGCTTCACGATGGGTTTGAAAAAGACATCCCGACCCTCAAGATTTCTTGATTGTGCTTGAAGTAATTAATCACTTAGTTCGCAGCGATCCATTTTCAGAGATTTAATTTCATTCCCATGCATGTCGTGTGTGATTTGTTATGTTTACGCTCGAACCAAACCACGCTGCGAGTGGTACCAAATCACATCTTCCTTGCCTTCGCCGAACATCTCTATCACCATTATGTTTTACAACAATAAGCTTTTACTCAGGAAGCACCTCCAAGACACACGTTAATAACGTAATAAATTAAATCAACGAGCGCACAGGCTTGCCACGTACAGAGAAAGGAACACCTCACAGTACATGCCGTGTCTGTGTAAGAAAGCAGACCTGCCCTGACCGGTTTGGCTCAGTGGATAGGGCGTCAGCCTGCAGACTGAAGGGTCCCAGGTTCGATTCCGGTCAAGGAATCGAACTTTAATGTGGAACATGTCCGTTTATCACAGAAGGGAAAAAAAACCTCCCTCTTAACCGCCTCCACCCACAGGGCTGCACGGCTTTGCAGAGACTGTCCCGTGACACACGTGGGCAGGGACGCACCAGGACATGAGGGGATGTCTGGGGTCACACCGAACCTCCCCACGATGCATCGCCATTCTGCGAAAAGAGGAGGTTTTTTAAACCCAGGGCACCCAGTGGCTGCCAATTCTCCGTTGAGTATACCCAGGCTCTCCACAGTTTTCAGGGTTTCAAAGGAGTTGAGAAATCATCTGCCAGCGATCTACATCCAGCCTATGCCTGTCCAGCTATTCTCTTTTGAGGGGGAAGAAAAGAAGAAGAAAAGATAAAAGCATCCTCAACCCAAACCACAATGCCCTGCAGCCAGACTGCAAACAGGAAATGCTAGGCAGATGGAGAAATCTTCGCTGGGCTTCCCGGCTCCGAAGCAACGCCGCCCTCGACCTGCTGGGGGCGCTTGGGCTCTAAGGTGAACTCTGCGGAGGCTCAGGGACCACAGAGCCAGAGGCAGAGGGTACTTCTGGGCACCGCATACTAACCTCACACAGGGTTCGCATGTATTTTCTAAAACTACTGCTCCACGAGGGCTCTTGGGCCAGTGGTTTCCCTCTGCCCAGGGAGAACCTATTTCCATCCACGACTGTTCCTTCCCAGCCCCGCTCTGTGGTTTGGTGATTGAATGGAGGCAGTGGGCTGACTCCCGGCCTTGCCAGCATCGCGGGCCACGCAGGCCTGACACGGGAACAGAGATTCCCAGGCAATGGCCTCGCTGCTTCCCTTGAAAAGGTGAAAAGGAAGATGGGACATCATTTCCGTTTTGTGTTCACATGAATAACAAAACATAATTGGAAACAGCTAAAACTCAACAGCATCCTTTCTTTTTGTTCTTTCGTTTTCCTTTCCTGTTTTTTTTTTTTGTTTGTTTTTGTTTTTTAAAGACAAGAAAGCTGCATTATAAAGAAAGCCAAGTTCATGAATACATTTAACTACGAAAGGGCATTCAAAGTAGAAAACCAGAAGCTATGAAGGCATGGAAATAAGGAATAGCCCCTGCTTCAGCAAAACAAATAATGTGATGTCTGCAGACGGCTTTGAGTAGGAAGGCATATTTGGCTGGAGGAAGGATGGGTTCAGAGAGATGGGTAAGCCAACGAAAGGAATATTTATAATCATGTTTTAAAATGCTAAGGTCACCTAGCATACACCAGCAACCAAAAGCTATCCATGCACTTCAAACCTTGACACCAAAGCCTTGTAAACACCATTGATGGACTGGATCGTGTTCGCGTTCCTGTGGCTTCTCCCCACTGAGAGGCCTTCCCCAGCCACACGCCCCGGCCTGGCAGGTCCACTCCTGGAGGAGACAGCTAGTCACTTCATCTTTGCAAGATGCCGACCACATAAAGGACTCTGACTAGAGGGAGAGATACCAGAGAAAAGAAGAGATTGCGGTGAAAGGAAGAGAGACTACAGACTGGCGGTGAAGGCACGGCAGAGAAGTGAGGGTGGGATTTTGGCCTGAGTGGATGGCAGACACACACAGCGTGAAGGGCCCTGCCATGTGGGGAAGGGTGGAAACGGACTGGTCCCGGAAACGTGCAAGTGATGACTCTTGGCCGAGGCCAAACAGATGGGTCTCCTGGAAACGCGAGGTTGGCGCGGTATCCCTGGGAAAAGAGCGACCTGGGCAAACAGCTTCCTCCCGCAGGCCCTCACCAGCCACCGCCAAGGGAAGGGTGTCTGCTGTCACTTCCTTTCTTCCCGCCACACCTCCCTCTGAGCTACGCCACCAGCAAAAGGGCAGCGGAAGCCCAGGGGAAGGAGAAATGAGAGGACCCTTCTGAATAGAGACTGAAATAATGTAAGATTTACAGAAATATCACGGATGTATCAAAAACTCCCAAAGGCTAGGCGTACGTATGAGCTGAGGTCAAAATGATCCTTTGAGAGTTAAAAAAAAAAAGACATATTTCTACCTTCAACTTTCATTTTCTTTAAGATTGTCACTTTAAGACAAAGTCAATGGCCTAAATCACCAATTAGTTAAACTGCAGGAAGACAGACACATATACATGTGTATTTATCCAGCACAACAGGGGAGAAGTATTCTGATTTGTCAGCTGTTCGGGTTAACGTTCTACAGAAAGCTTTCATTTTTCCAAGATTCCCTCTTTAGGCCGCAGTGCCTATCGGACATCCGAACAGCTGGCCGGGGACAAGGCATCGAGTGTGAGATCTGGATCCGTACAGGAGGCCAAGAAGCACTATGCACAAGAGATGGGGCAGGGAAAAGACAGAGATGCTCCAGCTCCTCCCCCTCTTCTCCCCCCCTCTGGAAAAGGCTGGGAGTGCTTTTCCTGGGGCACCTTCCAACCTCCCTGTGCTCCTGCCTTGCGGGACTCAGGAGAAATGAGACCTAATTAAATCAGCTCACAGAACACACCTTTCTCCGTGTGGACACAGCCGTGAGGCGGGTGGGCATAACCTGGGGGTGTCCAGACAGTACGGCCTGGTGACCAGGTCTCCACCCCCAACTCTGTGTCTCCTCCCAGAGTCAGCAGTGGCGTGCCCGGATCATAGGGATGCTTCGGAGACCCCCGATTCCCTGAACCTCACCATCTTTTTCTTGGCAGCGGGATATAAGGGCGAGGTGGCATGGGAGAGGTTAATTAATTGGTAAATCAATTAATTGAAACGCATGGTCATCTGCACACACGTGAGATGGAATGTGCGTGTCTGACACAGACAGCGTCATCGCTCTTCCAACCAATGAAAAGGCAGAAGCTGCTCAGTCCCCCGAGACGAAGACAGAACGGGGGTCGTGGTGAAAGAAATTGAGGTCAGGGACGAATTCTAGGAGTCTCACGGTGGCCTTTCTTTTTTTTTCCTTTTTAAAAAAATATATTTTATTGATTTTGTACAGAGAGGAAAGGAGAGAGATAGAGAGTCAGAAACATCGATGAGAGAGAGTCATCAATCAGCTGCCTCTTGCACACCCCCTACTGGGGATATCCCGGAATCGAACCCGGGACCTTTCAGTCCCCAAGCCGACGCTCTATCCATTGAGCCAAACCGGTCCCGGCTCACCGTGGCCTTTCTTTACCTGTGACTCCACGCGTAGGACTCAAAAGCTGTTTGGCTGTAAAAATAAAAAGACCACGTAGGAAACGGCTTACCAGATTTTTCAGCAGGGTGGACAGTTCCTTTGTAAGAGTCGAAAATTTGACAAAAGCGGTGCCAAGGTCCGGGTTGTCTCGACTTAAAAAATTACTCCCGAACTTGTCCAGAACTTGGGCATAGTTTTCTTCGTTTTGTACATGGTCTGAAAAAGAAGAGACAGAGGAGCTGAGCTGCTGTGAACACAGATAGGTCACTGGAGACTCCCTGCGGCAGAGAGAGACGCCCTCTGTCATTCACCACACACGCCCGGGAGGGGGTTAGCATTCTCACTCTGGAAGGAGGTTTCCCTTTCCCTGCCGAAGCATTTTGTTCACTTCTATCCCCATCAATCCACGGACCCCCCACAGGTGGAGGGGTCCAGTCACCATCCTATTTGAAAGTAAGTAAGAAGCCGCCATGACCAGGAAACGAAGAGAAAGTTCTCCTTAAAAAGCCCACCCTGGAATGCCAACGAAAAGTCCACGTGTTCTAACATGAATCTCCCTGCACCGAGTGTTCATCTCTGTCCATTGGGCTGAGCCCTGGTCCCGCGGTGAGCACGGTAAGTGACGTGCTGCCACCGAATGTCCGCCTGGCACATGCGGGACGGAGGCCTGCGCAGCGTGGCGGGCCTGGCACGGGCCTAGAGGGTGGCACGTGCCCGTGGAAGCATTCCAGATGCCACACCCACTCTCCACAGCCACTCCCTCCCCTCTGTCATGAGGACCAGGGAGGCATGGATTTGTACAGAGGCCCACAGGAGACGTGTAATGTCTACTGAATGACTAAATGAACAAATGTGCATCTAACACAGTCCTAACTGTTAAAACCCTATCTTTAAAAGCCTATAAATTCAACCCCTTTTTCGTTATAAAGCCTTCTTCCCTCAGTGGGCCATGATCCTTCCCTGCCCGCCATCCTCTGAGCCTTCTCCGTGGTATTTCCCGCCGTGTCCTGTCATGTTTGAGTGAGCAGAGCTCTGTCCAGGCCCCAGACCGCGAGGGGCAGGATGGCTTCCGGCTCACCGCTGGTCCCCACCCAGCAGCCAGGCCCCGTGGATTTGCTGACTTCCCTTCCAGGAATGTAAAACACATTCCCTTCTTAAGCCTCCTCGGTTGTTGGACAATCAAGATGAAATGTGAAGTATTTCATTCTTATTTAGCCAGTGTGGCTCAGCGGCTGAGCATCAACCCATGAACCAAGAGGTCCCAGTTCGATGCCCGGTCAGGACATATACTCGGGTTGCCGGCTCAGTCTCCAGGAGGCGATGCAGGAGGCAGCTGATCAATGTCTCCCACTTATTGATGTTTCTATCTCTTTACCCTCTCCCTCCTTCCTCTCAAAAATCAATAAAAAATTTTTTTAAAAAAATATTTCACTCTCAAAGACACTCCCCCCGGGGGCCAATCACAGTATGGGGGCAACGGGGACTGGAGAAGCGGAACACGGTCTGCACCAGGGAGGCAGGCCCAGCACAGCCGAGGACAAGGGTCAGGCCATCCGGGGAATGGAACGAGGCCCCTGGCAGCCTGCCGATCGCCAGCACAGTCAGCATTCATGACGCCCACAGTGGAGGTGGGCTTTGGGGCTGAGACAGGAACAGAGAGAAGGTGCAGGTCTGCTTGCTGCCAGCGTTCCCTCCAAGAAGAGGCCCAGAGACACACAAGAGAAGGGCCACATCGGCTGAGCAGACAGGCGCCGGGTTGGATCTCTCTCTGGAGCTGCTGTCACCCGGACCCCTTCTGCCGGAGGCCTGAGCTTCCCTCACGCTGAGCCTCCCATCCGACGCCGACAGAGAAGATCCGGCCCCCTGCCTGCCAACCGCTTCCACGCGGAGCGTCCCCGTGGTGAGTAAAACGTAAGCATCAGGCTTTCGGTGTGTTTGCTCGAAATGATGAAATAGTTCAAACGATAACAGAGTACCCGTGTGCCCACCCACTAGTGAAGAGCCCTTTCTGACCAAATGCCTGTCACGGCATCACAGATAACCTTCCCCAGGACTCTGCAAGGGAGAGTCACGCTGCCTGGGCAGATGAAACGTAACGTGTGGTCGGAGAGCGGCAGAGGGTATGTTAGCACAGGCCAGGGCAGGGAGCCTGAATTTGCTAATTCCACAACTGAATAACCAGACAGCCAATATCTATACCTATATTTGTGGACGTGTGTGTGTGTGTGTGTGTGTATACATTAATCACATATGTATATACACATACCCATGTAAAACGTGAAATAATCCTATGGAGGTAGACACGCTGGGAATTAAGTGTAAGGTGCTTAGAATGGTGCCCGGCCTGTGTATCAGACATAACTACCTCTACACCGATGCGGACAGAGAGAGGCATTTAACATCCAACAGCACAGCCACGGATGCCTCCCGTTTTAAGGGTTTTTCTTACAGACGGCATCATAAACCTAAGAATGACAACTCACTGGAAAGATGACACAGACACACACATCCCTCTGAACGCAGTTAGGATTTACCAAGCAGGTTTCTGACGGGCACTGGGAGGGCGAGGGTCCAGGATGCTGGTGTCGGAAAAGGGGAGCTCAGGGCCGAAAGGGGGTGTGTGTGTGTGGATTACAGGGTACAGTCAGCGATTTGAACGGAATGTAAATTCGGGCGTTTAGCAAAGAGGAGGAAAACACGGGGCGCTGGAGGGGCCGCAGGGCGGGAAGCGCTGTCACAGACATGGGTGTGGCTGCAGGGAGGCAGGAAGTGGCTGGAGCGGTTCAGGGCATTCCAGAGGGAGGACAGAGCCGTTTTAAGATCCCCACCGCCCCCAGCTGCCAGGAGCCTGTGGGGGCTGGGGAGAAAGTGGACACAGAGAAATCTGATCCACCCGTTATGGGGATCCATGCTCCCCAAGTATTTATACGGAAGCCCTGGCCTTCCTGGGATTGCTGCAGGAGGTAAGATAATTCTAAGAGCTAGGGACTCCTTTTAGGCCTGGAAAAAAGGTAAAATAATCCCGTCTTACCGACCAAACCAGAAAGGGCCACTCTGTCAGGATTTCAACTGCTTTGGGCAGCTGAGTCCCCTGCACTAGTGACAAGACATGTTCTGTCGGGTGGGAGGGCGTTCCCATGTCTCAGCGCTTAACCCCGCAGCAGGCACCACGCCGCGACTTCCTTTTGCAGTAATGCGGCCACCAGGGCTCGTTGGTGAGTTCGTTACTGTGATGATGACCGCGCTGGTCAGCAGTGCCCGTGCAGTGGCCTCCATACTGTGACTGTCCCCTCACACCTTCAAGGCAGGTTTATAGATAACAAAGAGAAGCTCCATGGGGGTGGCGTGGGGGGACAGGATATTAGACTCCAGCTTCATGTGCTTCTAAGCCCCATCTTTCCGCCACCGCTTCTCTCAAGGTCAAATGTAAGGGCACCATCCCGGGCAAACCCGCCATTCATTCTCTCCTGGGCCCTTTGCAGTGCCTGGCCCCAGCGCCAGCGATTCTGTCGTATAGCCAGGCCCTGGCGTGGGGCTGGGCACAGAGTTAGGGCTCAGTAAGATGCTCACCGCATTATTTAAAGAATGTTCCTGTCCCTTAGAACAGGTCTTTTTCCTTCCTTCAAACACACTCGGCGCTGGCCCTGCGCCAGGCGTATAAAATACAATGAGCTGTAGCTGCACTAGGAAAGCCGTGTAACATGAGCCATGAATTACCAGCGCCGGGCTGGGGGACGTGGTGCGTCCTTTTATACTACCCTGCACACACGGTGTGGTACGGACCCCACTTTTAAGATTCTAATTAAACGTGCTAGTAAAATTACAAGAATAATTCTGACATTTATCCTAAGACGCAGAAAACAAGAATTATTTCCCTCCCTCTTCTCTAATCCCATCTCCTTGAAATAAGCAAAGCTGACGATCATCTTGAGTGAAATCTCAGAACTTTCTGATGCTTAAAAAATATACACACAGAGACAAAAAGACACAAATATAAGGGGGTTTCCTCCCCTTTTCTTACTTAAAAAACAAACAAACTGATGGGATATTATTACAAGACTCTATGGCTTGCTTTTTTCTAGTGAACAAAGATGAAGAAACTCAGCATAGTAAAATACAATGAACTATTTTAACCACGATTACATTTCATAATAAACGCTACAGCCATTTATATAACTATGCACCTCCTGAGAGATACAAACAAAAAAACAATGCTGCAATGTGTTCTTCTACACAAGCTCTTAGATGCGGCTACTTTCTCTCTGAAAAGATATACTCACACAAGCACAATTGTTGAGGGATAGGGTGTGCATTTCAAACTTTTATTAATCTTGCCATGTTTCTTTCCAAAAAGGCTGGCTGTAGCAATCACCTCTCCGATAGCAACACAAATAGGAAAGGGTCTATTTCCCTATAATCTCACCAGCACATACATGTCATTTTTAAATGTCATCAGATGTTTGTGGCCTTGGATACATGCCTTAGTCTGTTGCAGCTTTAGCTTTTTGGGCTGTAAACCATGTGGAAAGGAAGTAAAGAACCCATTAGAGATGGGTTCCTGTTCCAGAGCAGGGCCTGGCCTGGGCAGACAGCTCTACACGTCTCTCCAGACAGCTTGGGCTCAGGCACACCTGTCAGCAAATCACTTTAAAGCACACCTTTCCAACCAAAGCTTACTCACTCAACCACTTGTTATGTATAAGTACTGTATACATTACATGCATAGATCATGCACTAACATACTAGTTGTATCACTTAAAGGCTCCAAAACACCATACAATTGACTGAAATCTTCTATGCATGCCATCTGTAATTGCCACCTAGGCATGCCGTCTGTCATTCAGAATACACAGGATGAGAAACAATGGTAAGAAACATGGCTAATTAGTGTTTTCTTCTTTTAGCTCCTCTGAGATGTTTATTAACAGAGCAAGCATGTGAATAAACATTTTACCTTCACAATGAGAGCAATAAAAGAGCAAACAAACAGAAAATGCCGTTTACACCCCCCCCCCGGGGTGGCCCAGAGTGGAAGCCCCTGCAGCTCTCCGGAAAGAAGGAAAGAACGAGAGCAGGTCTGCGCAGCTATCGGCACAGAGACCTGAGAAAAGCCTCCCGCCGTCTGAATGCAGGTGACAACCGGCCGCACCCAGTCACCCCGTCAGCCCCGAGTCTTTCTGTCTCGCAGCATCGATTACCCACGAGAAACACGGCAG